GAAAAGAAAAAGAAAAAAGAAAAAATGTCTAATGCTCTCTGTTTTAAAAATTCTCCCAGTAGATGGTTGCTATGCCTACCTCTGGCATTTGGCCATTTTTCTTGCCACAAGTGTGATGCCAATCCTCTCTGAATTGGCTTCAGCTGGAGAGCAGTTGTCCTTGAGCAAGAACGCCGGGGCCACCAACACGAGGTTGCTTGGTGACAGTTTGTGCAGGGATGAAAGACACCCAGTGTCAGGGGAGAAAGCAGAATGTTTCAGAACATTTTCTGATGCCCATGTAATTCCATGGTGGGTGGATGGGGTGGGGAGGGGGATACAACACAAGCCTGGGGCGTTTTCTTTCTGACGTGAGCGGTAAGTGTGCTGATAGAAACATGGCAACCAAAGCTGGCTGCAGAGACTTAGAACTGTGGAAGTTGACTTTTCCCCTGACCCCGCTCCTCCCAGAATTTCCCAATGCTCTCCAAACAATGCAGGATGGCCGTTCATGTGGAGATGAAGACAAGCTCTCTGTTGACTTGATTTCCAAACCCTGCCTTTTGGAATTGACACAAGAAGAGGGCAAACTGCTGGCCCGGCTTGACCATCCGGTCAGGCGACTCCAACCCCCGTCCCTGCTCCATCTCCTCAAACAGAAGCGATTGAAAGAGACAGCAATAACAAAGATAAAAAGTAGAGCAACATGGGCTTTGGACCCCAAGGCCAACAGGCTTATCGCAAACTGGTCAACTTCTCTCTGTGGCTTCCAGCCCCCAGGGGGACAGACCAAAGCTGCCTTCCTTCCCTGAGACCTGCTCTGCACAGGTCCCTGTGGGTAGGGGCATGACGGACACCTTCAGGGATGCTTTCCCAGTGCTCCGGGTACCCAAAGCCCCAGGTTTGCTGTGGCTTCAGGTGGAGGGAGGCTCTAGCTTGGGAGGGAGGCCTAAATCAACACAAAGGCAGCACTGGGGTTCACAGCACAGGCCCTAAAACCAGACCACTGGTCTCTCTAACAAGCTCTGCGACCTTGGATGAGATTTTTCCATCCTCTCTGTACCTTGTTTTTTTCTATCTGAAAAATGGGAACAATAATGCACCTACCTTGTGTATTGAATTTAGTGCACTAAATCAGTGGTTCTCAGACTTCAACGTGACGAAGCGTCTCCTAGAGAACTTATTTAAATGGCGTTTGTAGGGCCTCATTCCCTGAGAAGCTTTAGGCGAGGGCCCAGGTTTCCTGCTTTTCATCACCATCCCCAGGTGAAACAGATGCAGGTGATCAGCGCTCTCTGGCCCGTGCTGTGCCAGCGTCTCCCACCTGGGCAGCAGGAGGCTGGCTCGACTTGCTCCGTGGGCTGCTTGAGTCTTTGTAGATGGCTTGCGGCTGTGTGCTGGAAAGTTCTCCCTCTTCTTGACAAGTTGATATTTCGAGTTTCCGCTCAAGCCGTATCTCTTCCAGGACAAATTCTTTACCAGACTTTTTGACAGACCTGGACCTCTGGGCAGGGACACAATCCCTAATTTATCATTCCAATATCCATTTTTTATCAATATGAAGCAATCTCATTTGGGGCAAAAACCTCATTTGATGGCAAAAACCTGACCTAAAATAACATGCTATCTACAGTATTTATTCCACTTAGTGTGAATATTAATATGCTTTGCTGTAGAGATACTAACGGGCTCCCCGACAGCGTGCTGACCCAGGCTCTACTAGCAATGTTACATAAGCTATGGGGTATGGAACAGAGTACTTTTATAAAATGCAAGAAAGAAAATCTGCATTCCAAAATGTCCCTGGCCCTGAGGTTTGGATTGTGGATCTGCAGCCCATTTTGTCCTGATTATTGTTTTTCTCCTCTGTCTTGCCATTAAATGAGAACCTCCTAAGGTCAAAGATTTTCCATTTTGCATCCTCAGCATTCAGCACAATGCTTGGCTCAAATAATGATCAATTAGTACTTCTTGAATGAATGAATGAATGAATGCTTTCTAGTAGAGGACACTACCTGTCTGTCTTACTCTCTGTGGCATTCCTTCACACTCCATGACATTAGTGGTAGGCTTTGTAAAATTGACTTCACATGGTTCCTTGGGACCAGGCCTGCAATTGGGTGGGCTGTCCCTAAATTGGGGTGAGTAGGGCCTGGGAAATTTATATTTCAAACAGCTAGACTCTCCCACTCTTCATTGGAGCAGGGCTTTGAAAAAGAGGGAACATTTCTGGGGCATTGGGATGTCTTTAATAAAATAATTTTCCAAGATGTGGGGGATGGGTTGATGCCGTCACCTCTGAGAGCCTCTTTTTCTCTTCCTCCCCCAAGATATAGCTCTACCTGTGTAATATCAAAAATGGGGGATCCCAGACCCTCCCCTCCCAGGCTTGATAAAAGCAAGGACTCCAGGACAGGAAACTGGGCAGGACACCTGGGTAGCTCCCAACCCAGCTGAGCTATTAGAAGACGAGGGGATGGGAAGACTCAGAAATAGTTATGAGACTGAGCTCCCAATGTACATGCTCAATAGCCCCTAGGCCCTTGGGATGTGCTGGGACAATGAAGGAGAACAGCCACATTCCAGGTAAACAGAAATCGGATCATTATGAGACAATTCAAGTCCAAATCTCACACTGTTCCACGTTGCCAATGGCCACGTGCAGAGGTTGCAAACGCCAATGCTAACATGGGCCAGCCAGGTGATGAAAGAAGTCGGCCAGGTGTGACCTGTAGGGAGTGGAGGGGAGTGCGGCAACCTGGAAGGTTTGTGCCTCATTGAAAAAGGGCACCCCCTATTCAGCTCCTGCTGATGGAGGCCAGGTCTTCTAAATCTTCAAGAGAAATTGGAAAAAAACTTGACTTTCAGATGAAATTTTCCTATTGAAAAATTCTGGGAAGGCCAAAAAAAAGTTCATGGGCAGTCAAATTAGGGCCCACCAACCACCATTTTACAACTTTTGTTGCCATACATTCTGGGTGCTGTCCCCTCATCTAATCTAAGCGGGGGACCAATTGTGAATTCCTGAAATTTCCCATCATTCTGAGTTGGGGCGATCCCAGGGAGACGTTGTTATTCTCATCTGCAGCTTCTGCCCCCCGCAAACCAAGAGGCAGAGCAGGCTCACTTCCTCCAGGACCACCTCCCATTCCAGCACCAAGGCCTCTTCCCCACTCTTGGTCAGTAGCTAAAGGAGACGGCTTAGCAGCTACCAGAAATCATTTGCCAGGTGTCTCTGCTGAGATAGCTAAGTGTGGCTCAGACGCCTGGAACCTCCAGGAAAACTGCCATGTCTCGAGAACTCAAGTGTTGCTGACAGGAGGCTCGAAAATTGTGTCTAAAAGGATGAGAAGCAGAGAGAAAAATGGCAATGTGTTTATTTGCAATGTTTTAGGTAACAAGGAGAGTTGGCAGGTGCCTGAACACTCGGGCTAAGGCGGTGTGACTCTTAGCAGATCGTTTTCTGCAGTTTCATTGTCTTTGGCTGACTGTCTCCTTGTTTCCTCGCCAGAGACCCCACGTGACTTTCTTACAGACAATCAACTTGGCCCCTCGGCAGCGTCATGGGGTGGAAGACGCTCATCAGCCTGGCCCATGTTTGATGATTATTCAGGAGCGGACAGAAACAGGAACCAGTGGGTTCCTGTTTCTGTGGGAGCCTGGTTCCTGTTTCTGTCCACAACCTCCAAGCTCACCATACGCAGCAGCTTCACCCCATTTCCCAGGCACCTATCCTGTTCCTTTTAATACATCTTTACGGAGCACCCAAGGCACAGAGAGCACCGCTGTAACCCTATGCTTGCAGGTTGCCTGTGGTGACGTACAGGAAGGAACAAACAGCCACAACAAGAGGCAGAAAGGGGCAAAGCACTGTAGTTTCAGAGGAGGGAGGGAACTTCATTTGGTGGGAAGAAATCAGGAAAGGCTTCCTGGCGAAGGTGACATCTGAGACGGGCTCTGAGATGGGGGTAGATTAGGACGTGTGGGAAGGTCCCTCACTCCTCGTGGATAGAACAGTATGAGCAAAGGCAAAAAGGTAAATAGAAGGGGTGTGATGGGGGGATGGTCTATTTGAGTGAACTTGGGGCACGGAGGGCAAGTGATCAGGATCCTGCATGAAGGGCTTGGAACGCCTGGCGAAGGGGTTTGGATTTTCATTAGTCAACACTGGCAGCCTTTGAAGCATTTCTGCAGGGGAATTTGGTGACTCGAGTCAGGCTACACCCGTGGCTGTGTGCACACTGGGTTGCACATTGGGAGAGGAACAAAGTGGGGTGTGCGCTCAGGAGATTATTGTCCAGACCAAGGAGGTTCTGGAAGCTAGCTTAAGGGCTGGGGCTTCAAGGTGAAGCGTGTAGAGCAAGAGAATGAATGGCTCAAGGTCACAGGGTCCTTGAGGTTCCTGGGTCCCCCCAAGGCAGGTATGACCATTGCTCTTTGCATGTCGCCAGCCATGGGTATTTCCCAATGCTGTGTCTCTCCAGCCCCCACAGCTAATATTTGTCTCCTATTGATCTGGTTTCCAGCCTGTTACTTTTTAACTGGAATTGGGGTTCAAAGGCCTGAGTTTTGTTTAAACACTTGTTACATTGTGGGGGGAGTATGTCCCCCTGATAATCTCAACTGATGAACAAGCAAGGATCTTCTACGTAAATATAGATGGCAGAGGAGGTGGGGCCAGAGGGGAATACAGTTGAGTGAGGTCCAGGAAGGGGGATTGAGGTTGGGGGTGAGGGGTGATGACAGGGAGTGAGAGGACACCCTCCCTGCAACTGGCAGAAGGGCTCTCAGAATTTGTAAGATAGCTAAATAACTAGACTTCAAAAGACAAACCCCAAACCCGAACTTTCTGCCACAAATACTATTAAATGTAAGTTAACATCTTAAATCCTTTATCAAACAGAAACTTTAAAAAGTACACCACCATCCTGGAGAGCCATAAAGTTCTTGGAATCCAGCCCTCACTGGACTCTCTTCAATTGGGCAGATACATTTGTGTTGCCCTGGAAGGTAACTGGAGAAAAAGAGGTACAAGCTTGTGAGGGTGCAGAGAGCCAGACAATCCCCATGAAGAGCATCTTCACTCCAGGGTTTTTAGGCCCTTACTCTGGCTCAAGGGCTTCTCCTGAATTTTGAGGAAGACAAGGCGACAGTCAAAGGGAGTGGTGGGCTCTGGCCCTGACTAGGAAGGGACAAAATTTCCTGCAGGTGGTTGCCAAGATTTGTCCCCCGACCGGGATGTGTTCCTAGAGGGCGATTTAAGCTCTTAAATTGTTTTGGTGTCGTCTCCATCCAGATCTTCAAGATGCTGAGAGAGGCTGTCTGGGGCAGTAGGGCCCTCATGCACCCAGCACCCCCTCTGTGCCCTCTCCCCACCCTGAGGCTGAGGGTGCTGGGCTGTCTCCCTCCATGCGGAGGTTTAGGGAATGAAACCAGCTTCATGTGCTTGCAGGGCTTTCTGACGGAAGTGGAAGCAGGAAGATCAGGCCTGCTGGTCCTGTCCCAGGGCTTAGCTCTGCCAGGAGTGGCCTCGAGGCTGAGGGTGTCTGCTGCTGTCCCAAGTGGGGCGGTTAGTGGCCCTCCTTTCAATCTTGGCTTAGTGATGGGCAGCCCCTCTGCTGAAGACAAGCCCTGGACAGAGGAGACAGAGTGCATGAGGTCATGCAGCACCCACGGCCCCACAGGGGCAGAGTGAGAAGCTGATCACGCCTCCCCATGGGCCTCCAGGTCCCAGGAATGAGGCACCCATGGTTGTCACCTTTTTGGGTATCTGCAGGGGAGGGTGGGGTTACCCTGGCAGTTCCTGAAAAAACAGGTGAGGACAAATTCTGGTCACATGTGGAGCGATCAAGGGCAAGAACCCAGGACTCTCACGGCCCAGGCCCTTCTGGGTCAAATGTTCTCGATGGTGTGATTTGAGCTTGAGGAGCCCTGGGCATGTAGCAGAGCAGTCTTCTACCTTCAGCTTGTCTCTTGGTTCAGTCTGGATAGGGCCGAGCAGGACTGAAAGCTGTTTACTTCCTAATTCTGGGAACTGTTCATAGAACTCTCACAAGAGGGTATGGCTCAGACATTGCCCAAATGTGTAATTTCCCTTTAATCACCTTCAGCGCCTAGTCTTGTTTGTTTGGGTGGGGTGCTCTGTGTGCCCTACACGCCCTCCAGGCTCATTTGTCTGCAAATTAGCTTTTCCCTTGGAGCAAAAACAGGCTTTGCCAAGCACTGGGGTGCGGTGAGGTGAGCAGAACACTTTGGGAGGAAGCCTGCGCCCTCTCCTCCCACCATCTCAACCCCGAGTCGCTCTCTCTGTGGCTGCTCGGTACAACGGAGCCATGCACGAAGGCGGCAGAAGTGCAAATGAGGTGCCCCCTCAACGCGTGTGAAAGCACAACCGAAATGGCAAGTTTCGGGGGGCACCTTGCCGACGACGGGATTAAGTTAGAACAGCCAGCTCAAACTTCAAGATCTAGTCCTGCAGGTGAACATGGCGGAGCTGGGCTCTGCCCGCGAGTGGGCCTGGGTGAGGTTGAGTCACATGGGCAGTCTGTAATCCTCCCCTGAAGCACTGAACCCCGGAGGGTGCCTTGAAGAGGGCCCCAGCTAAGGTGAGATGTCACTCGGCCTAAAGGCAGAGAGGCGCTCTCCACCACTAACCTGTGACCTGTATGACTTGGCAGTCCAGTTGGGAACATGGCCAGGACCCACCTGGGGGAAGGGAAGGAGGTGCATGGGCAGCATGGGGGCCCTGGTTGGGGGAGGGGCTGGGGCTGGGCAGGAAGAGATAGGCTGATTGGGGCTCGTTTACCTTTTATGGGTCTAGCCTGAGGTCTGCTCTAAGAAGGAAGGAATCTTCTCACCCTCCTCAGTCCCCACCAGCAGGTGGCCCCAGGGTGGTGACAGGGTGGTGAATTCTACATCTGATGGGAGTCTGTGCTCTCTTCATGTGCTTTCCTGCCCAATTCAAGTCCTACAAATACTTGCTTAGAGATCCCACTGCCTGATCACTCTGCAAAAGCAGTTTTGAGAAGTGTTCTTTCGCAGGTGAGGGTGCACCCAAGGGATCGCTCGGCAAGTGGCTTTTGCATCCTTACGTCCCGGGATCCCTTTGAATGTTGTCGCCAGAGTCAACCATGGGAATCAGAGTCCCCGGAGACCCACACTCACCACTTTCATGGGGGGCTTTAAAATTTCACAGCAAGTTCAGAGCTGGTTAACCTAGCAACTGTGTAAATGAGGTATAATCATTTATTCCCTGATTTTATTAATTCCACCATTTGTGTTTTTCTCTAAGGGAGAACATATGAAAGCTCACAGCGGCTCTGACACCTTTCCAGCGAGATACATCCACCGCTAATCAACAAAGACAAGTCACAAGAAATCAAGGACTAAATTGTGTCCTGCTTGGATGTTAGCTCCTGGCAGTGCCTGAGGGGCTAGGTCAAGGCCATCAAAGAGGAGGCTTAGAATTCCAGGAAAAGGCAAAAAACGTTGAGGAGTCTGTGAGTTTTCCCAGAAGATGGACACAAGATCTGGATTCTGACAGCCCTTCTTCTGAGAACCACTGTGGGCTTCATGACAGAATCTTGTCAACTCATAAATTGAGCCACAGTCAGGTCAAGGCTAGAAAAAGGCCTTTGCAGAGATGGATTTGTATAGGCTGTAACGTGTTCAATCAAGTCATCAGTTCTCGAGTTTAATAAAAAGACAGATGGATAAGATTAGATGTGCATCCCGTTAAGCTTAAGCCGTGTGTTTTGGGGAGACTTGAATGATGTTTTTAAAGGTGGGGAATTTTTAGGGAGATGAAGGAAACCCACATACTATGACTCTACAGGTACTTAACCCACCGACACCAGGTGATACCTTCACGAACAAGCTTGAAAACCAGACAACCCATCATACTTGATGTAGAAAATGTTCCAGCTTCCATAATTCTTTATTAAATATTTGACAAGTTGCATCACTTCTTTACAACGACTTCATTTTGTCACATTGCTCTTTTGCTGTCAGGAAAACAATCTACAATTTCTCAAGAAAAATGAAAAGCCAAAAGGATTTATTCTTAAACAAAACGTTTTCTGTGTTGTATCAAATTCAACCAGTTTAAAGCTACTCTGGATTGTGAAAATGAGCATTGTCCATAGGTTGTCTTTAAAAAAATTTCAAAGCAGTTTGGTTTCTAATCACCATATCAAATAGTACTTGGCTTTATATTAGGAGGTGGGTTTATAATAAAAAGTTATGAAACATTGAGAATTCATTTGGAATGCTTGAAACTCTTTTCACCTTAAAAGTCACTGTTTTTTCATGTTTCATTTGACAATAGATCCTGAATTAAGAAATGACAGCATATTAACATCATCTTCGGGGGGTTCTCTCAGGCTCCGGGGGTCTGAATTCTCAGGAAACAGCTTGGAGCAAACTGTAGGAGAGACTAAACTCTCACTCCCTTTCAAAACCAGATTACTCAAGAAAGGTGTAAAAATGCTATACAAATATACACGTATATATTTGGACAGCATATGGACGTATATATGTATATATATTACATACATAGTAGTAGAGAAAGAACAAAGTTATGCAAAGGATACCGTGACAATCTAGGTGAAATCAGTCTGAGTAGGAGGGATGACCTGGCTTCTACTGGAACACAGAGGTTCGCAGACACAGGGAGATGGTCACGAGAAAGGCTTTTGATGCACTGATACAAGGTTGAGAACGCAGTACACAGAGGTCTGTGGCCAGTGCGGTTAGATTCCTATTGTTACTCCTCACAAACAGACTAACCAACAAAAAGACATGCATTTTAAACATGCGTTGCTTTGCGTGTAACACCTTTAACCAAAGATGACATCTCATGAAAGGTTTTCTTGGAAAACCTCATACACACACACACACACACACACACAAACACACACACACACACAAACACAGAAAGCTCTCCTTTTCTATAAAACATTACACAAAGCTCATGTCCTGATGCTACGGCATTCTCTGACACACCGAAAACACTCTGGGGTGTGTGTGTGGTGTGTGTGTGGGTGGATGGGTGAGCAAGTGTATATACACTGTTCATTAAGGCTTAGAGAAATTAAAAAAAGTGGTCCAAAGTATATCACATTTTCTTCCCAGTTTTAAAATCTAAAGTACAAAGAGGAGTTCATAAGGATTTTTTAAAACACATCTCAAACCTGAAATTGGCAGTTTTTGACATGACTGATCGGGATGTACCCCAGATCCTGAATGAGACAGAGGTAGTGCATGATCTCCTGGGGGGTCAGGAAGGGAACAGCTCAGGCAGTAACCCTGAACAGCAGCACCCCCTACTGGCAAGGCAGAGCATGACACCAGACAGCAGGCCCCTCCCCTCCCTGTCAGTAAGGCGTCCAGAATCAGGGTGAGGAGGAAAGAAGCAAAGAAAGCTAGCACACACAGTGGGCGGGGCTAGAGAATTGATTAACCCAGGCTGTCTCTATAGATTTTAAAATTTCAGAACAAGACTTAGGAAAATGCTAGTCAAATGTTCAACAGTTAGTAATTTACTACACATGAACTTGGCTTTCAAGAGAGACAATTTAAATCTGGCGAGATCAAACAGCAAGCAATGGTACATGCTGTCTATTTTAACAATGTGAGATGCAGAAAGTGGTTCAAATATTTTGCTAACCGTTTCTCAGAATCTGTCACTGCATCCTTATGTGGGAGAAATAACCCATGTCAGGTCGCTTTACCTCCTTCGTCATCTGACCTTAGGGAATACCTGACGTCAGCTACCAAAACTCAAAGAAGCATCTTACATTCCTGTGATGTGGTAGAGGATTGGTTACAGAAAAGTGAATAATGGAAAACGTTTTGGGGTGGGGGAGTGGGGACAGAATGTGAAGAGAGCCCTGAAGCTGAACACAACTGCCAAACAGACAAACGCCTCCTTGTTTCCGTTCCCGAGGCAGCAGGTAGAAAAGCAGCACACCACCTGAAGCTAATCCCACTGGGCTGACTTTCCAAATTTATCGTCAGGCCAACGAGGGGCAGGAAGAGAAGTATCCAGGACCCACAGAAAGCTGTGACAACGGGCGTCAAAAGACCTCCAACAACAAACAGTGTGGAAACTCTGGAACTGGCTTCGTAACCTCATGGCAAACTGGCCAATAAGAACGATACCTTCTTCCGGGAGCTGGAAAAAAAACTGGATTCAAGCAATTTCTAAAACAGAGCTATAGAGGCCCTAAACTTCAGAGTAGTGTCACTGCTAAGGAGAACAAGAAAAGGGTACACTGCCTCTGCCCCCAAGCCGGCTGACCAGAGCCAACGGAGGCCCAAGGAATGACCCACCAGTCTGCTCTCACACAGCACCTTTCTTGCTGCCATCTGTCATCATGCCTTGAAGATGATGGAGAATGGTCATCAGGATTTAGAGAAAACAAGATTATAGGACTATTTTCAACCAAGGGTAAAACACAGAATTGTTGAGAGCTAGAGAACCTTATTTGGCTTAAAAAAAAAAAGCCAAAAACAAACCCCAAACCCAGCACTCTTTAGCTGTCATTGAAATCAGATATTAAGGGACAGATGAACAGAGCTGTCATTCTCAATTACTGCCTTTCAAGTATTCACTAGGGGTGTATTTCCATAATTCTCATCTGTTCCTGGCATAGAAATTACCTTAGGATGGTTTCTCCTTTCCTATTTTCAATACTTTGCCTAATGTGTATTTAACAAATATTCTGATTTTGAATATGCAGCCTTAAAACAACAAAAGAACCCCAGTTCTTATGTTAGAACCACTGGATGTCCTCCTCTACAGTCACATGATCACTTCAGAACCCAGCCAGGCTTTCGCATGAGTCTTCAAAAGAAAGCTGACCCTGGAGCAGGAGGGGCTGCAACACGGGGGTTTTTGCCCAAGACATTTGTTACATTGACCACAGCGAAAAAAAATCCCACCAACAGATAAAAAATAAGGAGCAATACTGTTTTTTTCTCTAACTACTCAACAGCTAAGTTTTCTGATCACTATTAGAGATTTTAAAATCGATATAAAAAGGGAGTCAATCCTAAGCTCTGTAGAAATTCGCCTTCTTCTAGACACCTCAGATCTCCGCACCCCTTCAGAGAACTCATTTACAACCACAAACATTCACGGCTTCTCACGAGCCACCACAATGGAATTTCTTACACCAACATGTCCTTTTTTTACGGAACAAATGCAGGGCCTGAAACTACCATGTTTTGTCTTATTTATGGCTGGCAAGAGATCAAATCTCTAGTGTCCCCTAACTACCACGACAGAGTCTAGGACAACACAGGTTAAAGAGGACAGCAGGGTGGCTGACCTCCCACAGTGCCTCAGGCGTTCTCTCAAGACACGACACAACTCCACAATAAAGAATCACAAGCGGCAAAGAATCAAACTGCACAGACACCCCTGATTCCCTGCCTCGACCAGCTTAACGGCCTGACCGCAGCGAGGTGAATGTCTTCACGCTCACTGTTAACCTAGCAAACGACAGACACAGCTCAGGCAACACATGGTATTGAAGCATGCAACATGTCACAGGTAACAAAACCGGTTTGAGTAAGTGCATATTAAATTCATCTTTGCGTAGAAATCACAAAACGGTTGGCGAGGACGGGTCTGTAGGCTCAGCTTTACAGCTAGGTTTTATACACCAGCAGCCAGGTTCACTATCGACAGATATTGCACCAGAAAGACGTGTGCAGGGAGGAGAGGAACTAATCATCACATTTAATGTCTACGATAAAAACCAAACCAAACCAAAACAACACATACACAAAACCAGGGATGACCTCCATGTAGTACATAAAGTGCCTTCAGAGTTGGTGCAGTTAGAACAAACATTGGTTATTTAGCGATTGGCGAACATGTACAAACAGGAGACGAAACAGTTCTGGTTTTCCACAGTTTCAAATCAAGTGCTGCCAAGTTTCATTCAAATGTCTCTACTACGAACAGCAAAGGGGGAAATATAATAAAAGAACGACTGTACAGCATCAGGAAGGGTGAAGTAATTTCTCTATGAGAAACGACAGCCCAACCCTGTCTCAAATGTGAGAGCACACGTAATTATTTCTAAGGAATAATGGTGTGATGCCTTCAAGTCGACACAAAATTTGCCATGCTATGGTACAATTCTCCCAGCCTGTAGCTATTATGCTAAATTTGTACAAAAAAAAATGCAATATCCACTTTGTTTTCATTCTCTCTGAGTATGGAAAAAATTATCATTACGCCTAATGTTATATTTTAGTCTCTCAAATTACTTGTAAGAAGGTTTTTGTGGACAAAAATCAGCTTTTCAATTCTAATACAGTCCAAGGTAGGGTGTCAATGTACTTCAAAAATAAAAATGTCACGGACATTAAACCTGGTATGAAATTCAAATACAAAAAAAAAAAAAAAAGCTCACTTTTCCAAGTACACGAGACATCTTTAATTGTAATGAAATGAAATCGGAAAATCGGTCTAAATCATTGGAAAGAGTAAACATGAGTTGTAATACTATACCTGTAGGGTGATTAATTCCATTCATTGTCATTATAAAGTATGTAAAATATTTATTAAGGGCTTTGCCTACAGAGGCACAACATAAATAGAATAAGTCCTCCTGAAATGTAATTAGTGTACACATCAACCAGTTGATAATTCGCGATGGAAAATAATGCAGGAACGCGGCCTGGGACTGGGTTCCCACGTCTGAACTTGGGCAAGTCCCAGGCGAAGGCTCTGCTCCAGGAGCCAGGCTGTGCAACGGGCTCTTCTGCCACTGTCTCTGCAAAGTCTGTTAGGCAAATTCGAAAGTGCAAGCAGGACTTGCTCAACCGACAACTACTCCCGGGCAGGGGGCGCTTAATCCACCCCCTCAAATCCTTGAGCATTTTCCACTGCCATGAGAAGTTTCTCTCGTAAATCTTCGAAGGTTTCATATGGAGGTAAGTCAAGGCGATTAAAGCTGCAACGGTAATAAAAGTGTGTAGGTAAAAAGCCATTATTATTATTACCCTTTAGTTATAACAGCGTTTCCTAGATTTGGTTAAGGGGGCGGCAGCATGTGGTGTTGGAGCAAGAGCATGGAAATGTCTTAACCAAATCCTGATTATCAAAAAATAAATCCCAGCGATGAAACCGTGCTCACCACTTAGGCTATGGAGCCTGTGGAGGTAAGAATTTTCTAATAGTCCATGAGACCTCTCTACTACAGCAGGATGTCGATCCTGGAAAAATCCTGCCGGGGACGGAGACACAAAAGGAAGGTAACTGACATACACTCCCAGGTTTCAAAACCCTTGAAACACAAGAGAACGTATGCATCAGGTCTCGCGGATGAATGGAGGCTGGATCATTTTCTAACACTCTCCACCACTCTCACTTATCAGGCCGTGAGCCAAGTGCTTTTCCATGTAGTCAATCCTTTTGTTTCTGCCGCAGGCCTAGGAGAGGGGTCATGTTTTCTCTGTTCGGCAGATGTGGGTGCCTGAAGCACAGGGGGTTCAGGTCACTGTGCTGAGTTCTCACCCTGGTAGCACGGTAGAGTCAAGATGCTAGTGCTAAGGTATTTCCTCCAACCACAGGCAGGGAAAGAATCGACATTTGGAGCGAAAAGCTGCATTTTCACAAAACCTAAAGAGCTGGAGGCTTTGTTCAAGGGTGTTACACATCACCCTGGTGGTGGTGAGGCCTTCAGACAAGGAAGCACACTTATCTAAGAAAGCAAGTTCCAATTCTGGCTCGGCCACTGGCCAGGTGTGTGACCTCAGGCAAGTCACCTCCCTCTCTGAATCTGTCTGCTCTTCTGTGAAATGGGGAAACTGCTTGCAGGGTACAAAAGGGTCGAATCAGAACGTAGGTCAAGTGTGCCTGGCACACAGCAAATGCCCAAAGATGGTGACTGAGCACTATTATCATTCATTCACCATTCACTGAGTGCCCGCATGGGGCGCAAAGACTTAGAGCCCCTCACAGAATTCATGGCCGTGGGGGTGGACTGCTGGCGTGTACCTGCCATGACAATGGCCATACACCCTTGCCACAGCTAATGATTTAATAAGAGCTAACGTTCAGGGAGCATTTAACCCATGCATTGTTAGATACTTTTCATTTATTGCCTCATTAAATCTTAGCCATCACCTTGTAAGGCAGATAATGCTTCACCCTTGTTTTATAGAGGAGATATTCGAGGCACAGAGAGGTCAGGTAACTTGTTCAAGATCACACAGTAAGCAGTACAGCCAGGATTCAGTCCAAACCTGAACCTCCAACCACTGTTTGCCTTGTGCCTCAGCATTTAAAACTGCTTCCTCCCGGCACTGACTTACGGTGCCAAGTTTTAAAAGCTAATGATTATCAGTGGCAGTAAAGAAATAGACACATGTCCATTGCGGGCCTTTGAACAACCTCTTAAATGTTTAATAAGAGACACTGAGCTCTCAGGTTTCTTAACTGTCACTAAACATCAAAAGACATAGCCGAGAATAACACTGCCTCTCAAACTGGAGTTCTCAGGTACCCAGGGATACTAGAAGTAGTTTTAACTTTTTGGTTTTTATTTTGATAATAATCTCGAGTATTATTTTACCAGTACTAACTACTCCACGTCTGCAGACCACACTGAAAAGAGCTATTCACAGAAGGTGACTTTAGTTTTAAGTTTAAGTTGGTATTTCACAGTCCAGGGCCTGCAATCCCTATGGGGTCTGGAGATGCATTCTTGGGGGTCTGTGACTTTTTCCCCCCTTGAATATGACCCATTTTTTATAAATGCTATGACAATGATTTGAGTTGAATCACATAAAGTGTTTAGGACAATGCCAGGAACATACTAGGTGCTTAGTAAGTGTTAGTTACTGTGACTGCTGAGGTCAGGGGGCTGGGGTCTGGCTGTGGCCTGCCACTAACTAACTGTGTGACCTCATTAGCCTCAGTGGGCTTCCGTGTCTTCACGTGGAAGGTGTGAGGGCCAAATGATTTTGAGTCGGTCTCAAAGAGCAGGGAGGTCTGTGATTCTCAGTAAAGTATAATTTTAAACATCCAAGCAGTGGCCTTTGCTAGGAAAACAAAATAAAGCCTTTTAAATATCAGACACTCAATAATTCCATCTGAGAGGTTTATGGAAAGTACCCTACAGAAAGAACCAGATCACCCAGCTCTTGTTCTCCTGGTAAATCAGGTTTGCATTTTGATGCTTAACTGTGTATTTTACATTTTCATAAAGCGTGGAGGAAATCACACACACACACACACACACACACACACACACACGTTTGGCTAAATCTGATTGTGGAACTGTTGCTATGAAGCAGCCACCCAAGCTCCGATTTCCTACATTATAGTACGAACCAGGTTCAGGCTGGGGACAGAGCCACACGGCAGAGAAAACAGAGCAAGTCCCACCCCTGACAGCCAGGGCTGCTTGCAATGAGCCCTCCTCCTGGCCAGGTGGCAGTTAGTTTGGGGAGAGCATCATTGGGAAACCTCCTTGGTTGCTTTATTTCTATGACACACAGAGAAGAAAAGAGCCCATTGGGTAACCTTCCCCCTGTAGGTAGGCCTTTGTCCTTCCGAGGAGAGAGCAGTGCTTTTAAACCCTCGCTGTCTGCCTGAACCATCTGGAGAACTCTGAAAATCCCACGGCCCAGGCCACTCACCAGACCAACTACGTCCACACCTCTGAGGGCGGGACGCTGGCATCACTATTTTTTTAGATCTAGTGTCGTGGTTAGATTGCAGATTCTCATTGCAGTAGGTCCAAGTTCAAATCCTGTGATTTGGGAGTCTGTGAACAGTGGGATCCTGGGCAAGCTTTCTCCTAGCCCATGGGAATGAGAATCTTACACCATAAGGCTGCCATAAAGATTAAAGAGTGCCTGGCCCGTGGACGACGGCTGTGCCTGGTCATTTGGTTCTTACCTCTATTTCTCATTATCAGACTATGGGTTTGGGCATTGTCCATCAATCCCCAGTCCTATGCTCAGCTCAGTGACAGCTGCCTTTCCAACCAAGGCTATCACAACCCAGAAAAACTCCAGTGGAGTCTGGTATTGTTTAGAATAAAAGCTCCAAACTATTAAACCATTCTCCTCGAGAATAAAGCCAGAGAATCACAGACGATGACTGTTTTGGGTGTTCGCCAATTTTAGCTGGAGTCAGCTTGCTTTCAAGGGTCTGCCGGGGCCACGATCACATATGCATTCCATTCAGAGCCACACGAATGGTATAAACAGGAAGAAACTTTCTTTCCAGTGAAGGGACCCAAACAGAAGCGAAACACCTCTCACAGCCAATGTTTCACAAACACACTTCCATGAGAGCTCTCCCCAAGGGGGCACTCGGCTCTCCACCAAGGTGCGCTCAGTGGCGCTGGTGGCCAGAGTGGGCTTTTGAAGCCCTTGCTGCTCACGAGGAATGATGGGCTGGGTGTGGGGCTCGCCATTTCCACAGGGCCCACTTCCACTCGCTTCCTTAGAGCAAGAAATAAAAGCCTGGGTGGACAACCAACGCGAGGGACAGCGGAGTTCGGATTAGCCAGAGGGCACTGAGCGCTGCCAGTGTCATCCTTGAGCGGGTTTTACATAACTCTTTGGAGAAACGGGAGACCTGCCTCCTGGCCCTGCATCCTGAAGGCTGCCACATTCCACCTTATCTCCCTGGGCTGTGGTCCCGTGTCAGCCCACTTCCCCTTCTCAGGCCACAGTCATATTGTTACCAAATGCCAGAGACTTGTGGGTTGCTGATGGCCCTGGAAGGCCTTTCTAAAACAATGTTTCTACGGAGAATTTTATCCCAAGTTCTAGAAAGTCAGTTTAAGGTTGGAATAAACACCTCATCTGTTTAGAGTTTGGGAACTGTCATCATATCCATGCGCAATGAATATTAGTGAAATCTCTGCTTCCTAGAGTAATTAGGAAGGGGTGGGCTTTAGCGGAGGGATTCCCCACAGCGCTGAGGGCTTAACCCTGTAGGTGCCACGCAGACAGGGTCCATTCAAAGCTTGCTTTAAAACTTCATCCACATTTCTATACAATTTATGTTTTCATCGGCACCACCAACACTTCAGACTCTAAGCTATTTATGGGTAGGGGCTGTGGCATTCTGCAGCCTCTAGCCTTGCAGCAAACAAGCTAAGTATTTAAAATACGGTTTGTTGACAACTGTGCTTTTTTGTCACTCACCATGTGTGAGCTCTGGGCAGTTTTTCAGGACTCCCCCATTGCTCTATTGTAAACAGCTGAGGACCATTGGAACCTAGACAAAAAAATAAAAAGAAAGACAAAAATAAATGCTGGGAGTGCTCAAGACTGGAGAGCAAAGCTAAGGTGTGACTCAAGCAAAAGGAAAGAGGGTGTGCTGAGACACCGTCTAGGGGTACAGCACAATATTGACTATTTAACGCTGGCGGAAACAAGAGGTTTGCACCACCTTGCTACAGACTCCGCGTCACCTCCAGCATGGAATTGCGCCAAGCTTAACAGACACAACCACATACGAAGGTGTAGACAGCTACTGCCTTTCAGTGGAACCTTGGGAGTTTACGTTTGAAACTACTTTTGGAGGGGGGGAAATGACATGTGACCTTTACTGAGTAGAGCAGAAAGAATGATTTTTTTCAATCTCTAGTAGGGACTAAAGCATTCTGCTTCCTGGAGGCAAGGAGTCCCTTAAGCGTTCAGTTTATCATCACGTGGCTGATTCTGCGAAATCTAGTTTTTAAAGACAGACCAAAACAAAACAAAATTAAAAAACAACAAAAAAAAGAGAGATAGTATCCCGCTTACCATAAAGTTCGGCAAATCCATTCATAGGTACTCGGGACGTCCCCGTGACAAACTGCAGTAACCGGATACGCTTCTCAGCATCCATCAGCAGAACAGCCTATAAACAGAGGCAGACGGTCATTATATCCCCACGTGACACTCGGCACACACTGCTGTAACACAGGCAAGGCACACTTAACCTTATTTATATGGCTATGGAAGACCTAGACAGTTGACTCTGAAATGGCCATTTTTAATTTTTTTATAGCTACCACAATACTGTCCTCTCTCACCTTAGAGAGCAAGAGATCATAATGTCTCGTTCTTCTTCTGCCAATAAACAAAAATAAATGATATAAAAAGCAAACTCTTCGATGGCACCGAGCTCAAGTTTCAGTGGGTGAGGTGTACCAGTTCCCCAAAGCCAATTATAAATATACAGGATTCAAGAAGTGTCGACCCCACGGGAAAGCCAGGTTAGGAGGTGGAATTTTAGACTGTAGACAGATTCTCTAAAGATAACATTTTATTAAAAGAAAGAAGAACAGAGACAAGAATAGGCCTCTAAAATGATCTGTGTATCTTACATGTCTGAATTATTACAAGAATCAAGTTAGCTTTACTGGGTAAAGTTACTTGAACTTGTAAAAAAAAAAAAAAATATATATATATATATATATATAGCCAAAATAAAAATTGAGTGAGACGAGACTTGGACTAGGATTTGAGATTATGCTTTTTTCTTTTTATCTCTATTTCTGCCAGCATTTAGAATATTATTAAAAATGGACATTCAGAAATGAAAACAAGGGATATGATTTCTTATTTCTGTAAAATCATCAGCTTTTTTACCCTGTAACTTTTCTTTTAAAGTCAGTTCACTGTCTCTCCCTTGGGCCCACTCATTCCTACCTCACTTTTCTCCTAAGCTAAACAGAGTGCAAACATTGGCCCCCAAGATAGTAAATCCAATGTTATTTGTAGCCATCTTTGACTGAAAGATAGAAAAGATCAAAATGTTTGTTGGAGTTAACAAAAAAAAAAAATTTGGGAAAATGATTTTTAATTGAAAACAGCCTCTTGGAAAAGTCAACCCGAAAGCACATTTTCCACCCAGAGAAGCCTCCTGTTCTTATGTGCACTTTGCAGGATTAGTCCCAACTTGTGAATCCAACAACCTCCTTCTAAGCATCACCCCACTCAGTGGGTTCCTCAAACAGAAGTCACTCTATCCCGGTGGTCAGGGAAAGGCAGTGTGCTTTGGAAAGGATCAGACTTATCCAAGGATAGCTGTCTACTGGAGTTACAGAAATACAGCAGGAAGGGCTATGTCTAGCTCAATTTGCCTCTTCTCTTCCCCGGCAGCCCAAGTACTAACAGAGCCCCAACTTCCAGCAGCTGGACTAAAGCAAGACCATGGGGAAGGGCCGCACAGAGCCCTTGGGCCTGGCCCAGGAGGGGAGCAGGGCCCTGGCGGACCTCGCCTTACCTTCCAGAACCACTGAATGACAGGGTGGTTGGGGCAGTAGCCGTTCTTGTAAATCGAATGTTGTCTCCAGTCATTCACGTCCACATCGCCGAGGCCGCACATCAGCAACTGGAAAGGAGAGTGACCAGATGTAAACGGGGCAGGATGTGAACACCGAAGAAGTCGCACATGGAGAAATGGCCTCACCTCAGCGCTAGCACTTTGTCGTGTGCAAAGGAGGAAAGCTGGCAACTCATAAGAACAAATGAAGGGAATGTGTGTTCCAAGTCTTAGCTGCCACCACGGATCACAGAGACAATGCAGGTGACAAGGGGGACCCAAGCCTAAAGCTTGTACAGGTCACAACACTTCATACTAGAAATTAAAACTCCAGACCCATCTCTGCTCCCCCTCTTATCAGCGCACAGATTTCCTTGAGATCCATTTATATCTGCTCATTACCTGGGCTGTTTCCCCTTCCGAGAGGTTGTTTGTCTCAATATTTGAAACATCACCTAAGCTTACTCCCAGGACATCATGGATCAGAGAACATGAAAATATCATTTGTAAAGTAATGAGAAACTTTAAAAGAAAACCTATTTTACACAAAACGTTTACAATACAAACCTCCAGCTCGTTTTCATCGAAAATTTTAATCAAATCAATAGGAAGCAGTTCCGTGAATCCCTGAAAGAGAGGAAAGAAAAGAAAAAAAAACACCCTAAACACCTTTTTCCTTGAAAGAGACAAATTTTACAGGAAAAACAAAGTTAGCCAGGGAAAATACATTCTTTACTAATGATTCATATGCCAGTGACAGTAGCTGGCAGCTGTAGTCCCAATAAAAACAGCATAGTCACAATATAAATAAAATATGGAGATAGTAGGATCTAGAAGGTTCAGGTACTTGAGTGTGTTTTGAAAGCCTATGAATATACGCGTTACTGTAGGTAGGCCAAGTCCCAGAGCCATTTATGACACACGGCTGTGAGTGAGGGTGACCTGAAATACACAAGCCCCAGACGTGCAAGAGAACACGTTTCATTATCAGACACTGAAGGTGCCTAGATGAAACACAAAAGGAGGCAGTGTGATCGGTAAGGAAGAGACTGGGGGCTCGGAAACCCGCTTTGGCGCCCAGCAAAGGACCACTAACGAGTGGAGGGACCTAGGACCCCTCTCTGCGCTCCTGGGTCTTGTGTGACCAGTTTCTGAAAGCATGGCTGGACCCTCCGGGGGTGGGACCCAGGAATCTGCTTCCTGGGTTTCTTATCTAAATAAAGACTGAACTCTGCTGTTCTCAAGTACCTCAAACTCACATTTATGCCCCTAGATCCTGAACATTTTTGAGCGTTCTGCCAGAGATTGGGGCTTTCTCACCGTGTGTAGGTTACTGAGCTGCAGTAGGCTTAGCAGCAGTGCCCGCCGAGAACTGTGCATTGGTTCCAGGGAGATTTACAAAGTGCACGTGGGGCTCATTCCTATATTCAAGTAACTAATACCCATGGCCAGGATTTAAGAAGGAATTTCACTTTTGGTCAAAGTGAACCTTTTTTTAAATGATGAATACCCCTCCCCTCCACTCTAGGGGCCCCTCACAAGGGGCCTGGGGGCATCACTGACATTAAATCCTTGGGTCTGAGAAGTGCCTGCTTTGCCCTTTCACAGGGTGGACGTTGACACAGGTGGCGTGGTGTAAGATAAAAACCCAGCTTAAGAAAATGTGTTTCACATGTACCTACATAAGAGAGAAGTCTGTGAGGGACTCTGAAGACAGCCATGAAGGAAGTGGGGTCGGGGGGGGGCACTGGTACCGGGTGGGGTGCATGACTGGAAATGCTTTTATACTATTCAGCCCCGAGCCCCCAGATTTCTGAGAACCTGTCACCACAGCAAAAGGCACAATGCATCTCTCAGCCGTCACCCGGGTACCGCCTGGAACAGCGGGACAGGCAGTGGGTCTAGCCTCTGTGGGGGAACCTGACTTTCTAAATCAACGTGTAAAAAGTTATCTTTAAAAACAGCTGAGGAAAATTCAAAACTAAGAGAAGCAAAGCAAGAGAACGCTAAACAAAAGAAAACAAATGGAAGGGTGGCAGTGCAGTGGCTGACCGCTCCTGACCTAGGGACAGATCCGTGGTGTGATGTGTGCAGTCCTGACCTTTCCACAACGCTCCCACTCTACACCTGTCTTCCGGTGCAGGGTCGTTCCCACCACCCCACCCCCGGGAGAAAAGCCATTCTCTCTCACCCTACAGGCAGGGAACCCCAGTGGGCGCAGCTCACCTCCAAGAAGGCGTTCATTTGCTTCTGGACCCTGTTCACAAACCTCCATTGGATGACTAAGCTGTGGGAACAAAGTGGGCAGTATTTAACCACCTTCATCACTACCAGCGCTCATTTATTTCTTCACACCTATGAACCTACGACTGCTTCTCATCAGGCAGGGGAGAGAAATCCCTACAATGGCAAAGGATAAGGGGTCTGCTGCTGTGGCACACACTGCTTATGAATACTTTCGAAAACAACTGAAACACATGTGGAAAATCTAAAATCTCACTGAGGGTTTCAAAACAATAGCTGATTTCTTTTTTCCCCAGGCCAAGCCTTAGTTGATCAAAGTTGCTTTATACATGTGACCACACGGAGAAAGGGGAGAAAGGTCATGGGATATGGATACATATGTTTATGTGCACAATACGTACACACACATGCCCAACTCACATATGTACACACCCACACCATACAAGTATGCACATATGTTTTTAAAGGGAGTACTCAGCACAACATATTTCGTCATATGATTATTTCATTCTAGTATCCAGTGTACTGATTTTCAACAATGACTTATAATTTATCAGCAAAATGATTTACACTAACACTTCAATACCAAAATTAGGGGAATTAGTGGTAAGTCCTCTTAAAGCAACAGATATCCAGGAAGCCAGTTTCCCTGTGACAATGTCTAGTGTACAAGTAGAATTGATTGCCAGGTAAATCAACTCTGGATTCATCTAAAGTGTTTTGGCATGAGATGGCACAAGGACCTTGTCCTAAAAGGGCTCTCACCTACAAGGTGGCACCATGGCCACGGCCCTCGAGGACCAGCCCTGCTCACCACCACTGCCCAGTCATATCTGTATCCAGGCTTTACTGTGCTGAAAGCCGCAGTCGCCAGCTCAATAACCTTCTTGCAGCAGGTGTCAGGGAGCAGGGAGAGGTTTCAATCGTTCTTTCCTTCAGTGAAGCTGGCTGAAACTCTGCCCGACCCCACACCCACCGAATTTGAAACCTAAAAGAATTAACTGCAAAGAATGATGCACAGCACATACCATAACGCCTGAATCTTCAGACTTTCAACCCCAGTCACCCTGGGGTGGAGTGGATTTAAAATCTGCTCAAAGCCTGTACTGTCCGAACAAACACAGTGGTGTCTGCCAGGGTGTTGTCTGCTTGCCGAGACTGCCCAAGTTCAGAACAAATATGCCAATTAATGTGAACCGGTAAGAACGGTAGTATCTCTTGCTTCTAGGTTTTTATTAAGCTTAGCCAGCTTTTCCCTGGGAAGTGGAGAAGTCTGGTGTGTAACAGTCCAGGCTTGGTCAGGGTCTCTAAGGAGAGACTCCAACACTCTCCAGTTCCTCCTAGTTAGGAAGGACAGTAGGTTTTCCTTTGCAGATCACACTAAAAGATGCCAATACTCCGAATTAAGCCCTCTGACCAATTACACTGAGAAAAGAGGAGGAAACCCAGCTTGTTGAATCATAGGAGGAGCCAGGCCACAGCTGGACCCTGTAAGATGAGCAGAAACCAGGACCCAGGGACCAAGCACTGCTGCACTGACCTAGTCTCTGTCCAGTGGTAGTGAGGGCAACCTGGCAACCCTTGGAAAATCCCAGAATTGTGTGCTTGAAGCATACATATATGCCAAATAAGAAAATGTGATGTGCCCAACAGAGAAAGACCGTCTGCCTGGTATTAATGCCCTATGATTACTGAACAGCTGGACTTCCAAGAGACTCAACGTTTTATTCCGCCAACGGAGGCTGAGACTGGGTTAAGAAAATTACAAATTATCAGAAATAATTCATTGTGTTTGCATGTGCTGAATTTTCCCACCCATTTTCACTATTTTGCAACATTTTCATTATGGAAAAGAAGTAGGGAGAGAGAGGAACTATTTTACTTCAGTTGTTCCTAATTTTATCCCATTGTTCTTTGAAACTTTATTCCATTGTTGCGATTCTCAATTTTAGACGAGACATCCACATATTCCAACAGAGCATCTTTCATGTCACTCGTTAACGTGCTCCCTTTCCTCCTTCCATTGCTCCCTCATATGGCAGCTCACTGAAGTCATGACACAAATCATGTGTTTCATCCCATAATTCAACTTCCTACTAGCCCAAACCAGAAAGGAGCTCAGATTGTTGAAAGTATGTCCATGTGAACTGTTTTAAAAGGCAAGGGATGTCAACCCAATATGCTGTTCAATTTAATACAAAAAAAGAAAAAAAAAAGACTGTAAAAACGTGGATACGTACTCAATATATTCCCTTTTGTTTTCATTTGTAACCATTATTTCTGACCCATTGGGTTTCAGATCCACTTGATATGTCTGTAATTACAAAGAGGAAACAACGATCACCATCATGAAGTCATTCTGCATCTTATTACTGAGTGATAATGTCTTCCTAGAAAAGGAAGATAAGCAAAATGTATTCAGGAGTATTTCCCAGCAGATAGGCTTTGTGTACAAGAGACTGTCTAACGAGGCTTTCAAGTTGTTACGATGTCACACATTTAAAGATGTTATCATTAAAGGCAAATTATTTTACAGTTATTTATGAGTTTCAATTATTCTTCACCCATTTAGCGACAATGGAAAGGAGCAGCGTTTTTTTTCCACCTGCTATTCATTTATCAAGAAATTAATTACGCTAACAGAGAAGACAGGGCCCATCCATCAAGACTACCGAGATCCAGATTCTAATGCCTTCGATTTGTTTCTGAAAATTAGTTTTTCATAGTCATAAAAAAGATATGTTGAATTTCTAAGAGGCAAAATGCAGGGACTTAAAAAAAAGCAGCTTAAGAAACGAGGCAGGAGAGATGGATTTACCTGATCATAAAGAGCTAAGCAGCTGAAATGAAGGCATCCCTTCTCCTGTGATTTGGGCCGGCCCTGGCTTGCTATCAGTGAATACAAAGCAATAACCGGCAGAAGGGGAGGGAGGGAGAGGCTGACCATTTCACAAATAAAATGTTTATTCTCATAAAAATCTTGATAAAAGAAAAAGGAAAAAAAAAACTCCAACACTCACAGCTCCCCTATTCAAAGATAACCACATCAAGCATTTTGGTGGGATTTCTTTCAGTCCTGCCCCCTCCCCCCAACACACACACACACACCCGGCTATATCTGAGAGTAAGCCAAGCCTGAAGGAGGCTTTCCAGGTTACATCCACCATGAGGGACACAGTCACGTCTGTAATGAAATCTTTTGCTTTGGCAGAGGCCCATGTTCAGTCATCTTCATCCGCCCGCCACACACGCCCAGGGACAGGCTGGGCCTCTCTGACCTGAATACTTAGATCTTGTTTCTCTCCAAAGGTTTGCTCTGATTATGCACTAGATTACTGTTCCTATTCACATCGAGACAGCTTTTCCAATCAGAGGACATTGAGCTAGTCCCTCCACACGTTTTCCTTTTCGTTTTCTTTGTTGGGGAAGTCTGTGGGTTTTCCACCGCAAGACTGAACTCCATTTTTCAAAATGTCAGCTCAGCTCTTTCCTTTCCCAATATGGACTTGAACCCCTAACTGCAGTTTTGGTTTTCTTCGACTCCTTCCTTCCCGCCCGGGGTCCCCTCTCCACTGCTGTCTTTCCATCGCACCCACTGTTTCCCTGTGGTTCTCTGTTCCTGTCCAGGTCATGGCAACTCTTGAGGCTGTTCAACACTTTTGCTTAGTGAGTGGGTGGGGATGCTTCTCATAGCAAAATATTTTTGGTTCTTTGACAGTTATTTGGAAGTTTGTGGACAGTATTTATTTATACTTTTGCAGTATTTTTTAATAAGCTCATGAAGGTCCCCCCTCCCCCCGCCCACTTCTTTCTCCTCGAAGAGTGGCTTGCTCTTGCCCTCAGCAATGACATTTTTCTAGCAGAGCCACATCAAGTTAATAAACCCAATCCGGTTCTTGGTACTGAGAGGCTTCCAGCACAGATCAGCTATAATAAGATAGAATTTTTTTCTGGGAGTTGCAATTTCCAGAGGGCAACTGAATGAGACGGTCAACCACAGATGAGGCTGGGTGGACAGGGGGAAGGAGGAAAGCTTCTGGGGCCCCCAAAAGCTGAAGAGAAAGACCAAATCCTAAGTGTGGGGAAATGGTTCTTCCTACATCGTTGGTGGGATTCTAATTAGTTCAACCTTTTGGGAAGACAACTTGGCAAACAGGCATCAAAATTTTGATGTGCATATCCATTTTCATAATAATTTCTTTTGGAACTTATACCAAGGGAAAAATTGGTCAAGTGTACAAAATATGTATTTTGGAATTATCATCACTGTACAGTTTATATAGTGAAATACTTGAAATGGCCTACATGCCTACCAACAGGGCATGGTTAAAAAATATATGGCCAAGGGCCGGCTGAGTGGCTCAGTTGGTTAAGAGCTCGCTCAAGAGTTTGAGCTCTGAGCAACAGCGGTTCGAGTCAGCCCGAGCTGAGCAGCCGTGAGCTGCCAACAGGTGGCGGGATGGCTCAGCTTAAAAAAAAAAAAAAAATATGGCCAATGAAATGGAATTCACTGAAGCCATTAAAATGGAATACATTGATAGTTACTGACATGGAAAGGTATCTAGGATATACTGAGTTAAAACTACGCGTTGCAAAAACAAAAACAAAACAAAACAAAACAAAAACTATGCATTGCATACTTCCATTTCTGTAAAAAAAAAATCTTATATGTGTGTGTTTACACAGAATAATTCTGAAGATATAAATCAAATTTTAATTGTGATTTTTCTCTAGGTGGTTGGAGCTATAGGTGATTTTTTTATTGTACTGGCTTTAATTTTATTATAAAGATTAATATTTTATAATCAGATAAACTAATAAAATTGCTTTTCTTTTTTTAAAAAGGGACCGTACTATCCATAGTAAGTTAGGAGGTCAAACAGCCATGGGTGTGAAGGCAGTGGTCTGGCTTTATCGTTGGTTCTGACGTAGGGTTTCTGCGGGCGGCAGTGACAGACGGCACAAGGACAGGCAGAGGAGGGGGTTTCAGGTCTGCTCCCTAAGCCACTAGGTCAGGGGGAAATCCTCAGAGCCTGGCCATTGGTGCCTCTCAGTTCAAACTTTCCACGGTGTTCAGTCTGCATCCTGCTTGGGCTCCTCACAGACAGCAGTTTAGTGGGTGGTAACTTACAGCTGCTGTTCAAATGCCACTTTTTAAACTGGCTTCCAGGGCTGGACTGCAGAATGCTTCCTGTGGCCCAGGTGCGGTGTTAGGCTCGCCACAGGGGAGATCACTGCTGTCCCTACGAGGCAGGTGCCATTGCTTCCATTCTCTCACTGAGAGGAGGGCTCAGCAGGAAGTGGAGAGAGCTGGGGTCAAGCCCCAGTTGGTCACAATTGAAACGCTGGATTCACACGCTTCCCCCCAATCTTTCCAAGATGCCTTCTGCCGAGTGTCTGAGGACCTTGCTGAGAAGCTGCTTGGAGGGTACTGGGCTTGGCCAGGCGGGTTTGGTTCCTCTTTCTCCATTCTTGGAGCTCCACAAACCCTGTGGGGTGATTGTCAAGGGCCGGGCCTTCGTCCTCCTCCTGGCCCCTCCCAGCAGACATCAAAGTAAGTGACGATACTGAGAGTCCTTCGTTGGCCCAGCTTTCTGTCTTCGCGTTTCCCGTAGTTGCCGCCCATTTCTTTGACCTGGTCTCTGAGGAGCCAGCGCCTCCACCCTTCCTGGGGCCACTTCCACATTGGGCTCTGGGGCTGGTTTCTGCCAGGACCTCGCTCTGTTCCTCACCTCTCTCTCCTATTTCCAGTTTCTGCCTTTTCACGCATTCCTTTTCCCAGTGTTTCTCAGCCTACTGTCATTAACAGCCCCTGAAGAGCTTTTTTTGCTCCCCTCCCCATTTGCCCCTTTCCTCCCATGCAATCCTAATAAAGAGACCCATGGTACATCAGTGGTATACACTGTGGCCCTTTGGAGGGCCACCAACCATTGTAATGGCTGAGACTTTTCTGTCCTCCAAGAGCCAGCTTTTGCCCCCTTGGGACAGTATCTCCCGGGCTGGGAATGTATGCCTTAAGCTAACTCATGCCTGCTCCTGAAGAATTTTCCTACAGGCCCTAAGCCCACTTTCTGCCCCTCCCTCCTGCACAGCTACTTAAAAGCCCACACTCCTCGTGCCTCTTCAAAACAACCAAATCAGACACTGCTGTGCTGAACCCACAATAAGAATTTCTACTTATTCTAGCTCTAAAAAGGTGCCTCCTCCAGGAGGTGCGTGCGTGTATCTATGTGCGTACATGAGTGCATGGGTATACGGCTTATTCTTTCTGCCTGGCATATGACAGTTGTTCAGATATACTGGAATCTGTTCATCTGAAACATCCATGGTGGGCCCCAGAAAACGGCAGCTCCAGGTTCTCATCAACCATTAAGAAAACAAATTGCAAAATAATGGCAACAGCTGCAATTTCATTACATGAAGTGACAGCTACCATCACACTTCACGGTCTGATATTTCTATTTGTGGAATGAAACAAACAAAAAATGCAGTTCAAAGCACCGAGAAAGGCCGAGGGCACAGCATTTCAATTCTGTGGTAACTTTACTCCATTGAAGACATGACTGTATCTTTTGGCACAAGAGAGGCATGGGTTTCCTCTATGGCTTAGCATAAACTGCAGTGCAGCCAACAGTTTTGCCGAGGGCTCAAACAGGTGAGAAGCTTGCATGAGTGTCTCGCTGATGCCCACATTTTTGGTTCAACAGCTCTATTCTGAGTGCCTGCAGCAGGCAGCCTGCCAGGTGGTGCATACACGGTGGTGAGCCAAAGGCAGACCCAGGGCTGCTGTCACTAAGACTGAACCTGGTGGGAGAGGCAGATGCCAAGACAGAGTCGTACAAATAAATGCCAAGTCATCCATGGTACATGCCACAGGAAACATGGGAGATACTCTGGAGTATTATGGTCTGGGGTCAGGGTTGGCTTCCTGGAGGAAGGGACCTGTGAACTGGAGGTTGTTTTTAATTGTCCAGCAAAATTGTGTTAGAACCTGTGAAGCAGCAGAGACTCTTTGAAAGTCAAAGAGGAGATCCTGGGGTTCCCCGACACATACCTGTCCAAAGTTTTCTTCATCGATACAGAACATGAGGTCCAGTTCAGTAGGATCATTCTCTAGGATCCATTTCAAAGAGTTGTAATATTCACTATCCTATAAGTAATGACACAGAAATTAACATTAAGCTTCCACCCCCAAAATACTGGTCACGCCAGTCCTGGCTAAACAGCGGTAACTGACCTGTGGCTGTATCCAACCCAAGTACCACGCTTCCAGTTAATATGAACAATGACTTGGTTAGAAAAATTAGGGGGATCAATGTACTTCTCGAACAATGAAATGTTCCCTCCTGTTCACATTGATTGATGACCCCCATAAAAATTGCTGTGACTACAACATGGTGACAGCTGCCTTTCCGTAAGGCATGAGTGGCCCATGGCAGTAGGAGTGATCTGTCTTTACTCACCACTGATTCCATATCATTCAGGGTTATCTGCTTTCCCAACATCATTTTGTAAAATGGTCTAATGAAGAAACCTAAAATATGAAAACTGGGTTAGTTCCAAATCTTTGATACTGCTGTACATCAGAAAAGAAATATAAGGGCTGGCCGAGTGGTGCAGTGGTTAAGAACTGGCTTGGGACGCCAGAGGTTCCCGGTTCGGATCCCACATATTAGGGCCAGTGACACTGCCCTCTACAGCTAAGATGCTGAACAACAGCTCGACGTGGAGCTGGGCTGCCATGAGTTACCGGCGACAGCATAGGCTGCAGCCCCTGCAGCAGTGGGTTGCCATGGGCTACCGTGTGTAGCCAGCAGCCAGCGTGAGCGGCCAGCAGCTGCAGTGAGCGGCCGTCCAGAAGCCAGCGACTGATCTGCCTCGCCCGGGAAGAGCGCAATGATGGTGCCAACTTGGGTCAGTGAAGCAACGTCCTCCACAACTAGACTGAAGAACAAAACGACAGCAACTTGTCTGTTCCCCTTCCCCCAATTCCCCAGTGCTGCTCCCATCCCCCTAATTCCCCAATAAAAAATCTTTAAAAAAAAAAAAAGAAATGAAATATAATATTAACCTGCCTTCAATGTGACTGAAGGACCAGGGCAAAACAGTCGAAGACCTTTTATAATAATCTGTGACCAAAGAGATGAGGGCCTGTTTTTTTTTTTGGGGGGGGCAGGGTAGTAAAGAGGGCAGTAACGCTAAGAGAGGTGGTATAGCAGGAAGGGGTCAAAAAGGCTCCTGTGAGGTGACAGACAAGCCTCGAGGCCCAACAGGCTTTGCAGTGCCAACAAGGCACATGAACAGAGGAGAGAGGGCACTCCAAGCAGAGGGATAAGACCGGGACCCGCCAATGATTTGTCAGGACAGATGCACAGGGTGTCCTGGGGAGGACAGGTCAGAGAAGTCACTGGGGAGTATGCCGCTTGCATTTGGGCAACTGCCTGAGCACAACACGGAGTCACTGAAAGCCCAGGTGGAAATTCCATCTGCATTTCAGTATTATTGCTTGGGCAGGGACCACTTAGAAGGCTGTGCAGTCTTCCAGGGGAGGGCTGTTGAAGCCTGAGTGAGGCAATGACAGTGAGGACAACTCCACCACCACACGGGTATCCCACAGGGACCCCCAATCCATCACATCCAAAGGCAAGTGAGCATCACACACCTCCTCACCAGGGGCTCTGTAACCTCAGGCCCGTTCCCCACCCCACTCCCCCTCTAATCAATCACCAGTCCTCTGTAGCGTATTCCCACTCTCAAGGGCTCAGTGTGGCCCTAAGGCTGCAGACTCAAACACCTTTGGTGTCTCGGGAGGCCGAGGGTGAAGCTGACAAAAGGGAATGTGTGTGCTCTGCTTCCCGGGGCATTCACATTTTTAAGAAACTGAAGACACTGCTGACCACACACTCTGTGGTCATCCTGCCTCTCCATTTTGCAATTCCTGATGTACTTGGATATCTTTTGCAGCCGTCTCCTAGATACCCTCAATTTTTCCTGCTTCTCTCCATTACTCCCGTCACTGAGTCTTCACTTGGCCAGACCTTGCTCTTCTGAAATGGTCCCAGCTTCTAAACACTCAAATCCTACCCCACCTGCTGGGTGTGCCTAATCCTGGTAAAACGCTCCTGACCATCCAGTAAACTAGTGCCTCCTTGGAGTAGTCCCTGTGGTCCTTTCTACTTGGACTCTATCACTGTGAGTCTTCTGGTTTTTCCCCCACTAGACTATAAGTTCACTGAGGTCAGGACCACATCTTCTATTTCTTGGGTAGTAATGGGGAGGAAAAAACCGGAAAGGGGATAAGATGGAAATCTTCTATTTCCCTACAGCAACTAAGAATGTCTTCTCACTTGGCAGAAGGTAAATAAATTGGCCTTCTAAGAAAAGGCTGAAGTGAATTTTATCAGTAGAAACAATCTATGGCATAACTCCAATGTTGCAAATTAAAATATATTCACACGGTACGCATGTATACAGAAAAGAGTGCAGTTTTTTCTCACCAGAAAAAATAAAAATAAAATATTGAAATCAAGGATCAAAATCAGCTAGCAATTACTAGTAAAATAAACTAAAGGATAAAGTAGAGTAGACATCAATTATTTATTAGACTAGCTAGGATTCCATAGATGCTATTAACATAATTTCCCTGGAAATCTCTCTATAGACTATAACGTCAAACTCAAATCTGACTCTCTTCCATCCTCAACCATTTCACCCCCAAATCCTTCAAAAATATTTCTGATTCTCTTTCCTCACTGATGATTTCTATAGTGTTCTCTTAAGGGCAGTACTTTTGAAATGGCCAAATCCATTAGAAGTCTCTATTATTAGCTTATAGATATAGCCAGGGAGGGAGTTTCACTTCTAACTTTCAAGGTTCCTTGAAATTCTTTCATGACTTAAACGCTCTAAGGAAGAATGAGATTATTTTGTGCCATCTGTTTCAGCAGTGATTCCAGGGTCAGGGTCTTAGCTGTGTTATAAACATTGCTTTGAAATTAGTTACAGTCTTTTCTCATTCAAAAAAATAATAATAATATGGGGACAAGTGAAACAATAGCAGGATACGGGGTGAATGACATTATTTTAATTAACTTTTCAATTAGCTTTTCCATCTGTCACCAAATCTAGCTCTCGCTAAAGGAAAGTTATTCCGGAAAAGAGAAAATACACAATGACAGGATGTTCTGTGCTTCACACTCAAGGTTTTTTTTGTAAAAAAATTTTAAACTGTGTGTTCACCCTATGGCCTCGGTGCCCAAACTCAGATGACATCAGGGAAAAGAACCTCCATTGTGAGCAAAACATAAAAATAATTTATTGAATTACACAGAACCAGTGAAGCTTTGCTTAAAATCTATGATGTCAAAGATAACACACCTAATAAGGAACTATAAACAGCACTGAGCTCTTTCCACTATTTTTATTACTTCGAGACTTTTTACATAACTTACCATCTAAAAGTTTCCCATGAAATACTGCCAGACCAGCAACTCTTCCAATAAAAGTGAAGTAGGACAAATGATCTTCATTACAGAGGCCTGAATTGGGATTGATCTGAAGTGTGTAGTTGTCCCTTTGGGGAGAAAGAGAGAGAACAAGCCTAATCATATTTTTCGGTAGGAAAGAATGTGAATTTTCCTTTGCCATATGTCACTACGCATTTACAGTGCACATGCAAATGTTCTGCAGCTGATGGGGAAAGGCGTAAGCTAGAGAACGTGACTTGCTGTTTAGTTAGCCCCTTTCTGTGACCAGTGGCTGAGGCCTAATAGAGCTGGTGCATATGCCCGATGTAAGTTAAACCATAAGAAACTGTTGATACTCGACTATTTTTGATGTGCAAAATGTCAATTTCATATGGTTCAGCCCAATACCTCGGGAAGATGAAAAATGCCACATGACAAAGGGACTGCGCACGGGAGTACTTTAGGTTGTCTCCGTGAGGAGGCGGCTTCCTTCCTTTGAGACGCTTTTGGTTTGGGGATTAAGACTTTCCCTATGGGCTCAACCTATGGTCTGGCCCCTACTGTGCCCTGAAAGGCCCCAAGGCCACAGGGAGATGCATAGAGCTGTCTCACCAACATAAACTGCAAAATGTGTGCGTGTACCTAATCGTTCTTCTTTGGTCTCAAAATCATGATCAGTGGTTTTCAAATTGGGCTTTATAGACAGATTCCTCCGGGAATATAGGTGAGAGGTGAGGATCCTGTCTTCCTACCCTGCCCGCCGCGTGAATGGCTTCTCTCACGTTTACACAGCCGACTCTCTCATGGGACTCGGTAATAACCATGACCAACGAGCTAGGCAATTGTTGGCTAGAGCAACTGGACAGGATACTGGGCAGGGGGCTGCCTTCCAAAAGAGCCCCCAGGAGACCGGCACTAGGTGGAAGATGCGGGCGAACCCTTGTCCCCTTAGGGAACCGGACGCCTTTCATCGAGGTCAACAACTATTCTACTGGGGGCTCAGGTGCAGCCTAAGCCTTTGGAGGAGCCGCAGCCCGGAGGAGGAATGGCTGGCCTTGTAAGCAGCCAGCGTCTGATTCCTGAGAAAGCAGTTGAATCTCTTAGTGTCCACGTCTGGCAATGGTGAAATCCTAACACAAGGGAGGACCTGGTTCTTCCGTCCCAGGACCAGGGCACAGTCCTTTGGGTTCTGACGAATGCTCTTCAAAGCCATCATCGTTTGCCTTTAATTGTTATAACTTCAGAAAAACTTCAGAAACTATCTTTGTGCATTAGATGACGATGACGACTTTCTGAATTCTGACACTGACAAATTTTCCTGAATTAACATAACATTACAAATGAAAATTGCCTTTTGTTCCTTACCATAAGTACCCAGCCCATTTTCAATTTCAATTACATGAACCCAACGGACAAGAAAAAAAACCATGTTTCGGTGTTCACAGAGTACATTGCTTCACCAGGCAGAGTCACAATCTGTTCCAGGCTTATAAAGGGTGGGGTGGGTGGGTGAATTCATTGCAAATGAGTGGGCTGCTTATTCTTTCATTATGTTTCAACTCATTAAGAATAAAACTGTTTCAGTGAGGACGCATTCTAACTTACGTTGCAGAGTACTCGAAGAGGCCGTAGTAGGGGTTGAACATCTCTTTGGACAGCAGGAAGAACCATTCTCTGGCCACGCCCCCGTAGTCAAGGCCTTTCTCTGACTCGAACTCAATCCACAGTCTAGCTTTTAGGACATCTGGTCTTTTCACAGACATGATTCTCCGATAGGACTCTTCAAAAATGTTATTTCTGTGAAGCTTCATTTCAAACCTATTTGGAATATCAGCCTACACAAAAGAAAAAAAAAAAAACCATGATCATACAGCACATATACCCCTTACTTTCTAATAGGAAAAAAACAACAAAGAACAGAAATAATGGCTGTCTTTGAATACACAAGCCGTGACAAATGGCTCCAATTGAGGTCTCTTCTTGACGGATTTTTCTTCACAGGCAGAGAAGCCTCACTCTGTCAGGAGGAGACACACACAGCCTCCATCCACCAGCAGCTGTTAGCCTGGGCCAGAGATTGCTGAGTAGAAGACAGTCACCCTTTTCCTTTTTGTGAACAACTGTGGGGCACTTATCCCCCCACTAGCAACTGAAATATGGTCAGCTCTATATACTGTTTCTGTCAAGGAAAGGGCTTTAGTCCAGGTAATCAAACCCCATAAACAATCCCCACCTGGGCAGCTAGCAGGCGTGCCCCATGATGCCTACAAGCTAATTCCGTTGCCATGGGGATTGGGACCCTGATTGTCATGCCGAGTTGTGGGACAGCATCCCAAAGGTCATAGCTAATACATGTGAAAAGAGAAAAGCGTTGACTGAAGTTGGGAGCCATTGCTTCCTTGACAAGTGAGGGCCAGGGGCGGCCTTGCTATGAAAATGGATTTGCCGTAGTCAGTTTCCAGGCAGGTGATACCACAGTGAGGGTGCCATCGAGTGAGACAGGGCGATATCTGCAAAGTCATCACTTATGACTGGGGGACATGCAGGTGACTCACAAAAAAACACTGGGATTTCCTGTGTTCAAACGTGAGTTCTTTCCAAAGTGGTGACCCAAGAGCTACCTAAATCAGTGTGCTGGAAGGGAGAACAGAACCCCTCAGTGGGAGCTCGGGAGGCAGAGCCCAGGTCCGATGCGTCTTTGCATCCCCACTGCGTCATCCACAGCAGATGCCCAGAAAATGAGGCCTCAACTGAGGGGCTGGAGCAGGGAGAGACGGTGATGGAGCACAAGCTAACTGGGATGATCTGAGTGAAGGCCCAATGGGAAGAAACCAAGAAACGGTGAGTGGTGCCAAAACACCAAAAATACAGCAACAAAAAACAGTGAATGCAGAAACTGAGGAGAAAATGCGTAAAACCTATACCAAAGGGGTAAAATCGAAACGTAAAACAGAAGACATAATAATGTTGAAAACGTGGCGGACAGGAGTCAGTAGAAAACATAATACTGTAATTTAAAACACTGCCTATAAAAATCTTACAGGGTTTCTCAGTTTTGTAAAAATCTTAACAGTGTTTCCCAGTGAGAATGTTAATCTGAAAATTACACTTGGTCTTAATATGCCCAATAGTAAAATTAAATGTTATAAATTACATTTATGTTATAAATACTATAATTAAAATTCTACATTTGACTAGCAAGGGAAGCACTTGACCATTTTTCTAACTAGGATCCAGGTTTTATTAAATACAACCATAAGCAATGGCCTCCATAGGTTTCTCCAGGTTTTCTGACTACGTCCTGAATTATTTTATATCCCATTAAAATCATTTCTATCTTTTCATGTATTACATAAGAAATTACCCTCCAGGTGATTTGATATGTAATACTAGTTTAATCTTCACTTACCATTTCTGTTAAAAAGAAAATTCAGATTGACGATCCAGGTGGATCAAAGTGCAGTGAAAAAAAGGAAGGTAATATTTTTAGTGCACATATAAAAATAACAAATACGCTGTTCTCACTGCAGTAACTTCGATAGCTTACAAAGGACTAAAACAGCATTTTTGGAAGACATGTTACTCACGGGTTTCTTTAATTTCTTCCTAAAGTAGTCATATTTCTGCTTAAATTCTCTGGAGTAAGGAACAGCCTGGAAGAGAAATTTATAAATATAGGTAATGTAAACAATATGCTTTGAAATTTTATGTACACTGAGTGAACATTCAGAGAATTTCATGAATCATAAACCTTAAAACGTATCATGCTCCATCTTATTGAAATTTACACAATGTCTACACAGCACATGGGAAAGTTTTAGAAATGATTAAAGCTACTCAGCATTGAAAGGGACTTTCACCTTTGAAAACAACTATATTAATATTCAAGAAATCATTTAGGGATATGCTACATAAACTAAATATACTTTTCACGTGACTTCTGTCTGAATATGAGTCAGGCTGGGTGTAATCTTTCTTTCTTTCTTTTTTTTTTTGCTGTAGTTGAGATAAGTTATTAGCTATGATATTTTAACATACAACCCAAAATGACCTACAATGTCATTCTGAAAAGACTTATCAAGCTTTAAAAATCTTTAGGAGGAAAGATAAGGAGCAAAAAGGCAAGTGAACTGATAACTCTTGTCAAGTATAACATCAGATAGACAGACAGCATTCTGGGAAAGTCCTCCATCTAGGAGCCAGGAGGTTTGCCCCTTACTATTTAGTAAGTCGTCTTGGGCAAAGACTTTTAAAAATCTGGAATGCCTTATCTATGAAGAAGAGGAATGGTACCACAGGAGTAGGCTCAGCAACTGAGCTAACTACCTTTACTCTAAAAGTTCTAGAATCTCTTTGGCAAAGTAATACCATTTTAATGTAGTCATTTAAACATTCTGAACTTGCTATGCTATAAAGTAGTTTGCAATATCTGAGTGCCAGAGCCCTGACTCCAGGCTATTGAAAAAGCTTACAATTTATTTCTAAAGCAGAAAGGACTGACCTTTACATACACAAGGACATAACTGGGGCAGCCTCACACTCAGAACAACTCATTGCTTTTCAGTGTGAATTTGGGTAAGAATAGTTCTGCTGATATCATTTTGGGCTAAGTTAGTAAAATATACTGATCCTAAGTAAAGTGCCTCCAGACTCCAAACCTGATGCCTTCACCATGCTTAGTCCCAACCAGAAAGAGAAGAAATGACGAACAAAAGCTTCCCTCCTTCAAACGGCTATAAGACATGCTCACACAAATAACTAAACCAAAACAAAAACAAACGACCACTCCTAAGAACATTCTAAAGACAATTCATACTTCCTGTGGTCTGTTCTGAGTATTTAAGCCAGTCGTCACTTGCTTTTCCACTAAACACTAGATTTGACCACATAACATACTTATTCTGGACAGCACTTAGTCTGACGAAATCATGTATGGACTGTGATTCCAGAAAAGGTAGAAATTTTACCAATATCTGGACAACCACCAACATAAGGAAAAGGATACAATGTTCTGACATAAACTAATAAAGACGTTATCATGTTTTTGGCTCTATCAATGTTATATCCCATAACACACCAGTCTTTTCTATCTGATTTATTCACTCTTTGGTGGTTCATTCAACAGCTATTTCTTGAGCACCTACTCTGTGCCAGGCATTTTAGGTGCTAGAGAAATAATGGTTCCTTCAAAGAGTTCTTTCCCTGTTCTCTCCTGGGGTTTACAAGCTGTTGTGAGCAGTAGGTAATAAGAAATAAATGAATTAATAGTGATAAACACTATGAGGAAAACGTGATAGAGAGTTCCTAGGAGGCTCTTTTATTTGAGGTAGTCAGGGAAGACAGCTCTGAGAAAGGGATATCTGAGTAGAAACCAGAGTGACAGGAGGGAACAAATTATGACAGGAACGGTGAGGGCAAAGTCTTGAGAAGGGAAAATGGTTCACTGGTGTTCTTAGCTATGATTCACTGTGATAAAGGGGAATTACATTAAATAAATAATTTCCTTTCAGACCTGCATGCCCAGCTTTGAAGATCTGACTTCTAGAATAGACTCTATTGCCAGCTAGCTCTGCGTTATAACCTCTCCATGATGGAGTTTCTTCACCATCGAGCAGAAGGATTTGACTAAAAACCTATTTCTAAAAAGCTATGATTCTTAGCAATTATTTTTTGTTTTTGTTTCCCCCCTGAAAATGTTGAAGAAAGGCTTAAACATTCATCATTGTGAATGCAAGTTCAATAGTCTTAAATGACCAAGTTGCCATGGAATATATTTCAAAATGTTGCCCCCATCCTGTGATATCCATTCCCTTGTCTGACTAGATGTGGGTGGAAATAAGATGCTGAGATATTTCTGGTCTTTCTTCTTCTGTAGAATGATGCACAAATGTTGAAAATCATTATCCTCCTCCAGTACTTATCTTTTCTCTCTAGAGGTAGTTCTTAAGATGGAATAAGAAGAGGTTTTTATATTCTCCCTGAAAAGATTTCAACAAGGTAACAGGATAAAGACATCCATCAATGTAGCCTCTGAACAGAATTAATTGTATAGTGTATGTCTTGTATTGGCCAAATTATTTATTCTCGCTTGAAAACCTGGCAGCTTTTTTTTCCCTTACATATAATTTAACTTGTAAAATAAGCCTGTTTAAAAAATTAACGTGTCTTAAAAAAATGAACATGTCTTTGGATTAAAGCCTGTTTTGCTCAATATTAAATATACTTTCTTTTTTGAGCAACATGAAAACCTGATTTGTTGTGTAAGTTGGTTTTAAATGCCATGACATTACTGTCCAGTTGATACTGGAGCTCTTTGGACAGAAGGGCTTGTGCCTGACGTGGAGACACTGGTGAGGCAGCACGCTTGGGGCTCTAGTCCTGATTCTAAAGTTTTGGCAACACAGTCAGCTCTGTGATCTTCTGACAAATTGGGAATAATAACATCTTCCCTACCTTCTTACAGGGATTGCTGAGAGTTCAGATCAGCTACTTACAAAGTTCTCAGAAAAGGACAAAGTGTTACATAAGCATGAGATAGTGTTAATTAGAGCAGCAGGCATGGACAGCACTTTATAAATGCTTTTAGTGGTGATGTTTGTTATACAAAAAGCGTATTGACTTACAGTACTGCTGTGCTGGGCTGACACAGAAAGGGTCCCCTCTCCCCTATGACGTAGATATTTTTAAAACTTGGGAAAAAGAGAAACTCTAGGTACCAGATAAGCCGGAAGACTGAAAAATAGAGAAATAAGGGAGCACTGGACTTAGACGTAGGTGTTTGGGCTTGGGTTTTAATCCTCACATGGGGCATAGAACTTGACCAACAGTCTCTATGACCTGGGAGCCAAAACAGACTTCCCTGCTTAAAACTGACCTCTGAAAAGGGGAAAAGAAAACTATACCCACTGGCCCAGGAAAGTTGCAAGGAAGCTTACCTTCTGTCCAGGACCATAAATGGAAGAAAAAGAAAAAGAAACAGACCTGTAATAAATTCATACTCCAAGCCTACACCAAAGTGGGTATGAGATGCATAATTATACTAATTGGGGGTGAATGAACCCAAGCTAAGTAGTTAACAGTAAATACAGGTCAGAACTTATAAAAGCCCCATAGGGAAAAAAAAAAAATGAAGATGAGAACACACACACATACACACACATACATACACACACACACAAATTATAAACTGAACTAGGCAATAAACTACCTTTCAGGAGAGTCTACAGGTATAACAAGTGGGAAATTTTATATACCTGGGACCAGAGATACTAGAATAATCTGAAAAAGCCTATGAAAGAGGCTATTTTAAGAATAAAGAGTTGGAAGTATAAATTAAAAATAAATAAATAGATAAATAAATAAATAAATAAATGGAAAAAAACAGGACACAACACTAACAACTAAAAAGACCAAGCAAATTTAAAAAGACCAAAAAGAACTTTGAGCAATTAAACACAATCACTGAAATAATAGACAAAATGAACTGACAAAGAGTAGATTATAAAAAGCTTAAGAAAGAATTAACTGGAAGAGCTGAGCCCATAATACAGCAGAGATGGAAAATATGAAAGCTAAGAGATATGGAAGATAGATGTGAAAGTGACTCAATTACCCAATAGAAGTTACTGATACAGATGACCCAAAAGAATGGGAAAGGTGCACTATGTAAAGTAGGAACTGCTGAGAATTTTCCAGAATGGAGGGAAGACATGTTCCCCATATTGAAGAATCACAATGAGTCCAAAGCAGAATAAATAAAAAGAAATCCACACTTATTTGTCAAATTTATTGGGGTGACATTAGTTAATAAAATTATATAGGTTTTGAGAAAATCTACACTTATGATACGTGATAGCAAAATTGCAGAACATCAAAGACACAGAGAAATTCAAAATCACCAGAGTAAAGACAGAGTTAACCACACACTCTAAAAAAGGTAATTAGATCGATAACAAACTTCTCAGCATCAGTAAAGGAGACTGGAAGATGTGAAAGAATATCTCCAGAGTACTGAAGAAAAATAACTGCTAACCAAGAATTCTATAATGAGCTAAACTATCATTTAACAGCGAGGTCAAATGAGTCCTCTCAGACTAAGCACGTTTTCCACTCAGGCTCTCACTGAAATTGCTGCGAGAGCAGAGATTCCCAGGAGAGTGGGCATCAGAATCCCTGGGGAGGTTTGTTAAAACACAGCGTGCTGGGTCCACTCCCAGACTTGCTGGTTTGTAGGTCTGGGGTGCGCCCCAAAGTTTGCAGGTCTGGGGTGCGCCCCAAAGTTTGCATTTCTAACAAGTTTCTGGATGATAGTGATGCGGCTGATCTGTAGACTATTCTTTGAGAATTATGAACTCGAGGTCATACTTCACTAAGAAGAAAATATAACCTAGAAAAAGGGGATGCAAGAACCAGTGGTGGGCAAAGGAACCTGCCTAAGTAAAATTAGGTAAGCACTGACTGTTGAAAAAAAAAAAGATAAAATACTAATGACGATTTGGAAAGTTTGAAGACAAGGTAGTTTTAAAACTCCATTTAAAACAATGGAAAATGGGAGTGGTAAGAATGGCATTAAATCCCCCTAAAGTCCTATATTATCCAGGAGAAAAGTACAGAGGGGTTAATTTTGACATTAAGTCAAGTATGTTGGTTAAAAATTTTAATGTGAACACAAAGAGAAAAAAAAATAGAAAATACGACTTCCAAACAAGTATAGAAAATGAGAGAAAACAGAGTGCTCTATCAACCAAACAGAAGGTAAGAAAAAGAAAAAAACCACAAAAATACAAAACAAAACATAGCAAGTTGAGACAGTAAAGATATCCTAGGCAAAGACTAATGAAGAGAAAGTGAATGTAATGATGATTGACCAAGCCATTGTCACCGTGAGAGTTTTGATATAGTAGTCTTGGTTAGATAAAACAGCCAGGAGAAAAGTAGAAATGGAAATGGATTATTTGAACACCACAGAGTTGATCTAACAGACATGTAAAGAACTTTTCTATGTCCAAGAAAGACAGACTATACATTCTTTTCAAACACAAAAAGAACATTTACAAAAAAATGGCCAAGGCTTCAAGAAAGTTTCAAATATCTGATAATTAATATTCCATAGACAATATTCTCTGACCACCATGCAATAAAATTAGAAATCAAGAAGAAACAGAGAGGCAAAAATTCTCCCATCGTCTTAGAAATGAAAAAGTACATTCTAAATAACTTTTAAGTCAAGGAGAGAAATCATGGAAATGATAAAATATTTAGAATTGAATGACAGAAAAAGCCAGATGTCTACACTAAGTTAATATTTACCTAAATACACATACTCTTAATGAAAGACATATCACTAATAATAATAGAAGAGTAAACGAAGCTCTTTTAGAAAACAAAGAAAGAGAGATCCTTCTCAGGGGCAAATCTGCCTGGATTTATGATGCTAAAGAGTTTTTAATAGTAATTAATAAGACTACGTGCTTGAGTAAAAGTAGATGATCAACAAATCATAAAAATATTTGAAAAAGCTTCAGAAGTATCAAGTCAAAAGTCTTCTACCAGTTGAAAACAGCATTGTTTCTTGAATTTACCTCTTTCTCATGATGGAGTAGAGAAAATGCTATTCTTACCAACTTATTGTGACTGTGAATATATATATATATATATATATATATATATATATATATATATATATATATATATATATATATATATATATATGCCATAGTAAGAAGGCAGGTATTTATTACGCTACACGGAGAAAAAGTAGCTGGCTGTCTGTTTTAACCCTGCACTTCGTAAACTGGATCAAAGCAGCTGAACACATCCAACAGACAACTCAAGGGATGTCAGGTATCAAGATGCATTTGTACTGTATTGTTTAAAGTTTTCGAATGGACTTATCTTTATAATTCAAAACATAACTTGAACTAAATCAGATGAAAGCCATGAAAGTAGTATTTTAAATAACCTATTGGCCTCTTAGCTCAGCACTCAATACAATAAGCATTACTTCCTTTTGCTCCTCCAGTTTTTAAATTGGTCCCAAATTGGCACTCTTTCGTGATCCCAGTACATTTCCTGCAATTCCAAATTATCTCCTTGCACTCATATAACCATTGACAGAAGATGCTGGTGCATTCGCTGCCCATGAACATGGCCCCATCCTACAGCCTCCTCCCAGGCGTCTGATACCACGTGTCCGTTCCTGCTGGATGACCGGTGGGTTCTCTCTCTTCCTCGTGAACACAGCACACGGCAGTTTTTTAAGAGGGCGCCATACCCAAGGCAGAACTGGTTCTTTACCCACCTGGCATATACGAAGGGACTATGGGAGAGTGAGTGGGTCAGCAGAGATAAAGATTCTTAACTCTGCCAGCTCCAGAAGTTAGCGTCAACCTCCCCCAAACTTTTACAGATTTTTAGCACTGGAAGAGATTCAGAATACAGCTTAGATTTGTTAGCATGCATTAACTGCCCTTGGCCTAAAGAAATGATAAATAAAACGCTACAAATGCAAGGCTGGCTTTGCCTCACATAAAAAGGAAGAGAGGACATTTTGACTGTTACTCTCACAGTCCACCCTTCCAGAATGGAGAAAAGGAAATGTTTAGTTTTGCTACCATGAACAAACCGTTTTCTTTTCCTTTATAATGAAAGCCCCATGAAAAGGCAAATGCAGCTGTACGTGACCCGGAAATTCCGGGAAGGAGGAGATGGGAATGATGTTAAACTATTCAATGACACCAGGCCCCTGGCACCAAGGTAAGCAGTGATATACAAGAAATGTGTGTTTAGATGCAACCAAAATATTATACTGATGATTCAGAACTTGAGAATACTGACCGGACCAGTAATTGCTGGGTTCTGCAGTCTTGGGTCTTCCCACTGAGTAATTTTGCTATCTGAAAATTAATATTAAAAAAAAAATCAGCATATTAGTTCAAATTTATTGTATGTCAAAAATATTTTTAAAATAATTATTCCTGGTTTTTGCAAAAGCTGTCCTGTCCCCAACCCTGGGCCCCAAAGATAATAACTTAGTATTTTAGGGTTAGAAGAGAACGAGCCTCTATATGGCAAACCTCCTATATACTGTTTAGTTAAAAACACTCAATCAAAAATGCACAACGAAAGTAAAACCATCTACTTACACTGTTTTTGGCAAGCAATCTGCTGAAATTTCAATTATAAACTCCTGTTCAAGGATTTATAACTTGATCTTGATTTTCATTTAATTGAAAAAAGGCACAGAAAGTCTTAGTCCCCCCAAAGTTAACAAACACAAAGGATTTCTTTTTCTCATTTCAAATGCTTTTTTTCTTTGCTTATGGTATCGCAAACCTGCTTTCAATTAAGAATCCTACATTGAACAAATGAATAATCCATTACATGTGTCACTCATATGCACACAACAATCAAAGCGGCTAAGGCAGTCCAAAAAATGAGAATTAGATACAGCAGAGAAGATTCCAGAGAAAGGTTTCCCTTTGGCCAAGTTGGCGAGAAGTTGTTTTCTTTCTTCCAAATAAGTCAATGTTAACAAGATTGTTCAATGCCACCTACACCCATTAACTCAACGGTGTAGGTTGTAACACAACAGCCACCCTGGATCACTTGGGATTTATGACTATGCGTAACTAAAAAGACTTTAGGGATTACTGTGTGTGTGTGTGTGTGTGTGTGTGTATATGTATGAGTGTGTGTGTGTATGAGTGTATGAGTGTATGTGTGTGTGTGTATGTGTGTGAGTATATGTGTGTGAGTATATGTGTGTGTATGTGTGAGTGTATGTGTGTGTATGTGTGTGTGTATGTGTGTGAGTATATGTGTGTATGAGTGTGTGTATGTGTGAGTGTATGTGTGTGTGTGTGGGGGGGGTGGGGATAGGAATGGACTCATGAAAGTAAGAGAAAGGTGAACTGGGAAAAAATGAGTTGTTGCTAGAGTTTTAGGAAATCTAAGTTAAAAAAAACCACTAGGAAATCATTTGTTTGAGGAAAATATTGATTCTAATTATTTCCTGTATACTCTGTAAGTGGATGGATAAGCAATAACCAGTATACTTGGTTTTAATGACTGTAACAGGAATTTTTCAAAGTCTGGAATGATACTTCTTTTAATGAAAGCAGAGGCAATGTTTTAAAATAAAGCCACCAAAGCACATGATGATTCTAGATTCGTGCTGGAGGAAAATTTACATGGACGGTTGCAACCATTCTAGGGAACCCTGATGAAAGCAAAGGGTTTTTTGGGTCCCTTACCTTGAAAACAGAAGACTTTGGAAAGTAAGAGTTGCTATTGTGATGGAGAACAATAGAAAAGAAAGCCGAATAATGGAAATAGAACAAAGCTGAGTAATTAAGCGCCTTGGACTGACTATAAGGACTGGGTATTGTCCTCACAGCTGAAAATAAATTGACGACTCCCAAATTTTCAGTCCAGACCTGAACATCAAGCTCTATCCTTGGCATCTGCACCTGGGTTTCCCACAGGTACCTCAAACCCAACTCTATAAAAATGGGACCCATAATCTTCCAATACAAAAATTGTCCATGTAATCCTGTATTCCTGTTTACCAGTATCACAGTCCACTCACTGTTCAAATTTGGAACCTGGACACATCCTTCATTCTCCTTCGCCATTCACCTCCAGCGGTTCACCACACTGTCCCTACCTCTCATTGATAAGGCTTCTTTCTGGAGTGCTCATCTTTTCCCTGGACTATTCTCTACGTTTCTCTGGCCTCGGTCTTGTCTCTGTTCAAAACTCCCTTTAGAGCTCTGCCAAACGGATCTTTCTAAAGAACAAATTTGACCATTGTCACTTCCCTCTGGAAAATCCCTCAAGAGTTCCCTCCTGCCTGCAGAAGGGACCGGAGTTCCGACACCTGGCAGACCCCTCTGACTTCTATGCCATGTCTGCCTCCTCTGCACATGGGGCCACTTGCTGCCTTGCCACATTTCTCTGCACATGGCACCATTTGCACAACTTCGTACACCTGGACATGTCTCCTCCCTCCAGGAATCGCTCTTCACTGGGCATGCCTGGCCCATCTTACTCATCATTGGGGGTCCATCGGAAAAGTAATCCATTCTGTAAGGTTCCAGCCACTTGGCCAGCAGGTGCAGTCTTTGCCTCTTCTGCTTCTACATGAACAAGCGGTTCATTCCTCTGATACAACGCTTAAAATACTTCCTGGTGCTCCCTACTAGAACGTAAGGACAGGGACTGTGTGTTTAATCCCTCTCTGCAGCCTCCATTCCACCATTTCCCAGCATGCAACAGGAGCCTAATAATGTGTTATTTTTAATGACCGAATGAAGCTGATGGTGAACACAAAGTTCCTTTAAAACCATCTAAGCTTTCAGAGCTATACAAGTTTCTGTGTGGTTATAACAAAGATCAATTTTGCAGCTAAGTATTGTCAATATATGAATTTATGGTGCCCAGTTTATCTATTTCTTCCCTAGCACTTTTGAATCTTAACTTGCTGTTCATCTGTGAGACATTGTATTTCAAATAAAGGGACAAGAATAAAGTAGAAGAATGAATAACTCAGTCGTTTCAGCTTATTAACTGGTTTGGTAAGACTGTTGGTAGAAAAGACATTTAAGATAGGATTTCACAGCATTACTGGAATTTTCTTTTCTAGCTTTGTATCTATATACCTGTGCCAAGTACTCAGCTGCTGGGCATATATGGTCTTTAAGAAGAAGCACACAATTCCTAAGAGAGGTAGAGGTTCAGTTCAAGGCATTCCCTTAACCTTTCACACCAGGCTTGAGACATAGGAGTTATTCAATAAACATCAACCAAATGAACCAAGGCATCTAAATAGGAGATGAGCATCGAGCATTCATCTCTTCTGAAATCAAATCTTTAAGATGGCTGAATATTAATCTTGAAACTGTCTAATTCTTAAGAATTTATGAAGCAGAAAATAAATAACAATTATTGAAAAGACAAGTGCACTGCTGTCCTTGTCACTCAGTGTGCAGTCACCTGTCCCAGCGATGTTGAAGACAGGATGGCTTTGAGTCACTTACAAGGTGACTGCTTTTACAGTACCAAGGCATAAGTAAGGATGGCCTTGTTTCTGTCCTGTAGGCAGCCAGACAACAAAAGGAGATGCTGCATTTTGCTAGGAATCAGATACAGGAAAACTATTTCGAAAGAGGTTCATTTGGAAGGCAAGGAAATGCCTAAATGTCACCTACCAGGTAATCAAACCCATTTTGGAGTATATCTATCAGCCTGATAAAGCCTCTTAAAGAGAGAGGTGCTCTGCACTTTTCAGAAGCTGGACTGGGGGGGAAAGGCATACGAATTGAACTCTGTTTCATTGATATGTACCTCTTTATTGCTTTCCATTGAGTAAACCTTGACGAATTAGGGAGAAATGCTACATTAACAGCTAATGGGGTCCTCATAAACAGATCTTTTTCTTACAGAGAGTTTTGGGTCTAATTTACACTATGTCTGGGTAAGGGAACCTTTCGGTGTGATTGAGCAAAGGCAAACTGTAACCTCAGGAAAGAGGAGCGTCCCATGGGTTCTTTGATCTGTCAAGAGGAAGGAGGAATATCTGAGAGGAAGGCTCGCAGGGTCTGCTGGGCTGACAAGGAATAAGGCACTGCCCACTTACCAGGAAACTGCCTACCCTCTCCTGCCTCCCAGCACCCGGGAGCAGGGCAGGCCTGAGGCTGGAGACACTGCTGCTGCTTCTCAGGACAAATTCTTTCTGACCCAAAACATTAAGTTCCTAATACCTTCACCACTGACCTTTCATGAACTGACTTCGAGTCACCGTTCACCCAAGTATCTGCTACACATTATGCTAGGCACACCATCAGAAAGATAGTCCACACCTTCTGTTATTTCTAATGGCCCTTTTCCATAGCATTTCTCTTGTTTTGGGGTCCTCACAGTACATTAAGAACACTCATGCAGTTCTTTTCAGGTTGACCTGAAGATCAGATCACCAGCCAGAACATGGCTACAATGTCGTGTGAAATATTCTCTGTGTGTAGCAGACCAAGGTTGCATTATGAGTTAAGGCCTTGTTTTAATACAATGATGATTATTATTTGTATCTAGCTTTGAAAACTGAAATGATAACAGATAAAGAACTGAAAGAGAAACTTTATATTTTTAATGAGAAAAAGGGGTATGACCCCTTCTCGTATTTTAGCACTTTATGCTAAGCAAATTGTAAATAAATAGTATATTATGGAAAACACATATTTTGAAGCTTTAAGAGCAGCAATTTTATGCTCACTGTAAAATTCCGGGAAGCAGGCAAATCAGTACTTTTACTGGTGAAAACTAAAGCTAGGCCTATGTATCTTGACTTATTTAATTGATACCAAAGGGTAACTCATACCCCTCAGTATGTCTAGGACTGCTACTTCTAGTTTAATTCTGAATTGTTGGGGTTCTTCTTTAATTCAATTTATAATAACCCCTCCATCCTCTGTGCCTGAAAGTGAAGGTCTGTCTACGAGGTACTCAGCTGCTTGATAACACCTGGCAGAGGCCCTAAACCTAGGAGACAGTGACAAGCCCTATTCACCTGAGGATTCCTCATGGGCAGACTGCCCAGCCACTGGCTCATCAACGTGCTTAACTAATCAGTGTGATGAGTTGAGAAAATGTGAGGCTGGGGAAACCTGGTACAGACTTACTGGTTAGGGACCAAATGACAACAATGGTCAAAATGTTACTGACTTGCACACCTGATTTCAACTTTAAAACTGAACTGTAAGAACTGATTCCTGGTGGTGAACACACAATGTGATATACAGATGATGTATTACGGAAGTGTACACCTTTGCTAACAATTGTCACCCCAACAAACTTTAGTTAAAAAAAAAAATCTACCTAAACACTTCTTTTTAATATACATTTTCAGAAGCTTTAAGGGATATACAAATATGGAGAACGTGTCACTTCAAAAAAGAAAAAACAAAAACAAAACACGGGCTAAAAGCAAACCTTTATTAGTTTAACTTTTTTAGTTGAAATGAGAAACCACGCATTTACTCATAGGTGCTGGAGAGCAAATGTCTACAGCAAATATGCTGCCATTTCAAGAAAAGAGCTGCATATGTATTAGTGTGTTGGGTGCAAGGAAACATGCTATGAATAGAAAATAAGTCAGAATGGGCATCGTGCCATAACACCTGTGAAGGCAGTGTTTAAACAACTTCATATGCTGCTTCAAGCTGCGCACACATAGGGGTTTTTTTTTTTTTTTTGACTCAATCATTACTTCTAATCTTATTTTCTATTACCAGAGTGTAATTTATTAAAAGCGCAAGAGGGGTCATAAACCAAAAAATACTTTTTTTTAATCAAAGAAAGTTAATAGGTCACAAGATCAATGTGGGTGAAAGCTTGATGGGCTACTTTAAAGCAAACTTGGGGTGAACGCACAGTACCGTATGAGGGCACTGGTTCTCTGGGATCACTCTCTCCACATAACACCTGGCTGCCTAGACAAAGAGTAAAATGACAAAGCTTTCACTCTAATATTGGAATTACCCTCCCCCTCCCTCTACCTGCATTCCCTGTGTGTCCATAACAGCGCCTACTTACTGTGATCAATATAAAATGTTCGGCCATCCAAGTGAATTCGTTCTTCCCAACCAGGCTAGTTATCAGGGAAAAGAGAGAGAGAAACGGATACAGCATTAACTAGCCATTCCAAACTCAAAGGCAAAATTAAGAAACTCTAGGGAACTCTCTTATTCCTCTCATCTAGGGTACCTTTTTTTACCTTAAGAATAAACTAAAAACAGTTCAAGTTAACCCTTGGCCACATCTAGCAACACAATTTATCACGTGTCCCTCAATCTCGGATACATGTGTTCACCATATCAAGAGCAGAAAACAGGGGTTGCTATTTCAAAAGCTTCAGAGCAAAATTTCAGCATCCATTGGGACAGTTGAGTTTGGGGTTCAAGAGCTCATTTAATGGAATAAATTTTTACTGAGTACTAGAGGGAGGAGGGTCATTAATATGAAAATGTTTGTGACAGGTGCTTTATTCATGTTATCAGGTGGTTGGAGAATCTATAATAATATCTGTAATTCTCTGTTGTGAACTCCCACTGTTCAAACTCGAGAACCAAACAGACTTGGATAATTTTTTCCAGAGAGGGCTGGTGTGCTCTCATTATCTGAACTGTGCCTATTTGCAACCGGAAACTCAGGAACCCATCTTTACCTTTCTAAACTCACTCTCCAGATACTATCTGGGCATCAAAATCCAGGAACCAACCAGATGTGGAGAGTGAGGGATATCTGTATAATCTGATGGGTAAAGATTGAGCCCTAACCTTTCCAGCTTCAAAATTTGGCCATAATATATTACACACCAGGCAACAAAAAAGGTTGAGTCACCCCTTCTTTGCGCCCCTGTAAGGCTTTTTCATTGGGGGTGCGTTGAGGAGAAAATTTCACTCAAAATCTAATTTGGAATAAATAGCTCAATCCCATTCTGGCTCCAAAAGAGAATGAACTGATAAAAAAATTAGATTTATAAATAGTCATCAACCAGGAAGAAAAACTTAAAACATCTATAGGCTAAATGCCTTCTAAAAACCTTCTGTGATTACCAATGCCTTTTTCTTCCACTGTTTTTAATTTTTTGTTCCTATGACTAAATAAGCATTATGGGTGGAACTGAGTGGTTGCTAAGTTACAAGGTAAATGTGTGCTGCTGAAATTGTCACCTGTAAAGAATGCCTCTTACATCCTAGTTACAAGGTCTACCTTCTACCAGCAGCTGGCAATTCAGAAACCTCTTTCATATGTACAGTTTATATGTATGCACTGCATGAACTACTAGAGTTCAACCATATACCCAATTCTACTAAGAAATCAGACCAATGGGACTTGGAGCCTGGAGAAAGAGGGCCCCAGGACTCTCGATCAACAACGGGCAGGTGAATAAGTAACCATTTTCAGGCTTATCTATGTGTCTCCAGTGTACTCACAGGAAGAGGGCCAAGGTCATTGGGGTTTAAAGGCGCCTTTGACCGCATATGTACTGGAAATTTCAGGCGTGGATCTTCCTGCAAGAAAAATGTAAAAGGCAGAAGGTGTTAAGAGGGACTGTCTGTGTGCGGTTCCTGGCTCCTCCCCTTCCAGAGCTGTGTGCTCCAAGGCAACCGGGTTGCCTGTGCATGGACGGCACTCCTGGCTGCACGGGGAAGGGGAGAATCCATCTTTGAAGCCTGGCTGACCATCTCTCAAAAGACTCCACTCTTTCCCCCCCTCCGTCCTTGATGAAAGAAGGAAGAAAGAATATTGAAATTAAAGGTTAAACATTTCCCGAAGACCTTGAGCAGATGAAGAAGAAGAGGGTCCCAGCAGTGATGTTACTATGGAAACCAGATGAAGGGTGACAGCAAAGAGGAGGCTCGCCTCCACAGAGAGGGAGTGGGGATAGTGGTTTCAGTCTCCCTATGGATCCGGAGCCCGGAGCCGCCCACTAGCTTCACACATGAGGAACAGCCTCTCTGTCAGCTCTTGTGTTTCCTGCTTCTCCCTTCTACTCTTTCTTGAACAAAAGCAGAGAATCTGACCCTGTTCTGGCTGCCAAGTTATATGCTATCCTGGACTCAGTCGACTTCATTACAGAAAGTTATGTGCCCTCTACACAACCTTCCTGAGATTCTCGAGTTCTACAGCTTAGATTCTCATTTATGTCTAAAAATTTAGAAGTGTGTGAAAGATTTTTCTTAAGGGCTATGCTTTGTAAGATACCACAGAGAACCAAGAAAAGAAGAACACGTACTCTCACATTTTTGGTCATGCTGTATAACTGATCAAGAGTAGTGAGACATATGACACGATACTACAGCCACCCTGTTTGGAGGTTGGGTGCATGGCCTCTGCTTCTTTAAATGAGGGAACTGAGTTTCAGAGAGAATGAGAAGATGCCCAGAGGTTCTGACCCAGAGTCTGGGAGCTGCCTCTCACTTGTATAGACACACGAAAATGCAAGGTAACTGAGGAAATTCATATTTGAAATTCAAAAGATTAGAAAATAATTGATAAAACTCAGAATCATAAACTGTCAATCAAATAAGCCTGAGATTAAAAAAAAATCTTTTAAAAATAACCCTTTATTTCAATTACATTAAAGCTTTATGGGCCGGCTGAGTGGTGTGATGGTTAAGAGCTGGCTTGGGATGCCAGAAGGCCCCAGTTCGGATCCCACATATGAGGGCCAGTGACATTGCCCTCTACAGCTAAGATGCTGAACAACAGCTCAACCTGGAGCTGGCCACGGCAGGTGGGTTGCCATTGGCAACTGTGTGTAGCCAGTGGCCAGCAGCCGCTGTGAGCGGCCATCCAGAAGCCGGCAACTGATCTGCCTCGCCCTGGAAGAGCGCAGTGATGGTGCCAACTTGGGCCAGTGAAGCAATGTCCTCCACAACTAGACTGAAGAACAAAAGGACAGCAACTTGTTTGTTCCCCTTCCCCCAATTCCCCA